TACAATTCCTGGCATCTGCTCTGCACTCATTGGCCCTAGCTGATCTGCTCACTTCTCTCTGAGCATTGCCTGCACTTTTCTGCCACCTTGAGGTTGTTCAGGTTCATCGCTCAACCAGACATACTCTTGGTTCCCTTTCTGCCTGTCAGATTCTGCCCATCCCTTAAGGCCTGCATTGTGTGTTTTTCATATCCACGTTTCCTCTCCTTCATCCCATCGACTCCTTTAGGCGTTTATCTACTTTTTATTTAACGTGCCCCCAACCTTCTGGGATGCAAGAAGAAATAAGCAAGCAAACAAATGTGAGCTCATGCATTTCTCCTACAGAGCCTAGAATTGCTTTCTATTCTGTTTGGAAAAGAGAGTGAACAGGATATAAATATTGAATGCTGTACATTCATTTGGTGCACAATGACTATTTCACAAGCATTTAATTTGTTTCTACTATGTGCCAGACTCAGAGTTTGGCAATAAGATATAGAAAAAATAGATAACAGACGAAATACAGTCTGTTAGGTGCTCCAATAGAAGTAAGCAAAGGAAATTTATAGGAATGATACTAATTCAGGTGAGTCAATAAAAGGATGAAAGAATGGATGAATATGTGAATGAATAATTTATTTTAGTTCTCTAGAGCTAATATTTAGTACTCTGCAATCCTCCTTATGAGTAACTCACCCTGATAATCTTCTGCTGCAATTACAATGAGTGTCCTAATTTCTTCCTTCACAACAGTCGCTAATAACACTCAGGTGAATACAATAGAGTTCCTCTGAATTCCGTTCCTATGAATATGAATGAATCCTGCTGTCTCAGATGCATCAACCTAGCTTTACAACATGGACTGAGGTCTCCAATTGAAACATTAAAAATATTAATTTGGGCATTTAAAAAATAATGTTTAAGTGTAAGGTTAATCTGTGTTTCATTATGAAACAACTAAAATATATTTAATGCTCTTTTGATCTATGTTTCATGCTTGTGCACAGTTTTAGCACTCTAATAGTTTACTTTCTCTGTTTTTCTATTTATGATTGAAACATGATCTTTTCAGAGTCCTTTGCAGAAAGAACCTCAAGTTCTTCTTTTTTGTGAACTTTTTCTGTTTTACAGCCTTTTCACTAAAAAAATTCCTCTTACCGATTCTGCCTCTTTTATTTTGTCTTCTAATCACAAAAATTAAGGAGGCTTCCTGAACGTGTACTGTACTGAGCCCCATGATCTAGTAGGTGTTTTAAACTGGGTCTACACTGAGTATAATCATTTGATGCACTTCATACATAATCCAGTTACTCAGGATCATTGTGCTATAAAATGTCAGACATCATACAATTTGGACATCAGATCTTTCTCGATATCCTTCAGCAGAAGTTTCGTAGATACTGCTCAAGAAAATTGTCATATAACAGTCAGATGTGACTGGCAGTTGAGTTTAGAAATGTTTCAATTGGCCAGTTTTCTTTCTTTCTTTTGTTTTCTATTGCCATTTCATCTTAGATCCCTGTGAGCTCAAACTCATAAAACAAAAGACTTCCTCATTTTTTTGTCTGATTCAATAAATGTTTATTGAACACCTACTATGTGTGAGGCTTTTTAATAGATGCTGGAGTGTGGAGACAATAAGTAAACATAATTAATATCTTAGGAGAAGAAAAATAAAGTAAGGAGAGGGGATTGAGAATGACTAAGAGAGGGAAATGATTTCATATGTGATGTTCAGAGAAAGCCTCTCCTTTGAGATGCATTAGAGCAGAGACCTGATTGAGGTGAGAGAGTGAGAGAACAAGCCTTGCAGATATCTAGGGTGGAGTATTCCAGAAAGAGATGGCAGCAAGTGCCAACCCCCGAGGCCAGAAAAGAAGCCAGTATGGCTAGAGTAGTAATCACCACAGGGATAGGAAATGAGATCAGAGAGGATAGGAGTGGGGACATCATGTAGGATCAGTCAGCCATCTTAAGGAGTTTATATTTTATTCTGAGTGAGATGAAAAGGTATTGAAGGGACCTGAGCCAAGAAGTGACACACCATCTGATATGTACTTTAAAAGATTACTTTAGCTATTGATTGTATTAGTCTTCTTATGCTGCATAACAAATTACTACAAATTTAGTGGCTTAAAACAACACATATTTATGTCATGGTTTCCATGGGTCAAGAGTCAGAGAGGAGGGACCGTTTGTCTGGGTTCTCTGCTCAGGGTCTCATAGGTCTAAAATCCAGGTTCCAGCTGGGCCATGTTCTCATTTGAATCCTGAGGTCCTGTTCCAATGTTATGCAGCTTGCTGGCAGGATCACTCCCTTGTGGTTGCAAGATTGAGATCCAGGTCCCAGTTTTTTGTCTGTCTGTTTGTTACCATCTTAATCGTATACTTAACAGCAGTAGTGTTAAGTATACTCACATTGTTGTGAAACAGATCTGCAGAACTTTTTCATCTTGCCGATCTGAAACTCTATGCCCATTAAACAACTCCCCTTTTCTTCCTCCCGCCATTTCTTGGCAACCACCATTCTACTTTCTCTCTCCCTGAATTTGATTAATCATACAGTATTTGTCTTTTTGTGGTGAGCTTATTATTTGTTTGCTTTTGCCGTTTGTCAGGCTAGGGGCACTTTCAGATCTTAGGGGCCACTCTTAGTTCCTAGCCAGGTGCCCCTCTCACAAGCTGGTAACTTACTTCATCAAAGCTAGCAGGAGAATCTCTCACACTTTTAATCTCTCTTTCCCTCCAATTTGCCAAGGTGAAGCCTTCTGTAACATCACGTAATCACAGGAGGGAGTCCCTGTCAGCTTTGCCATATAACGTAACCTAATCAAGGGAATGATTATCTCATCATATTCACAGGCCCTGCCCACCCTCAAGTGGAGGGGATAATACAAGGTGTGTACACCAAGGCATGGGAATTGTGGGTGCCATCTCAGAAGTCTGCCTACTGTGTAAGTGGAGAACAATTATGGAAGGAGCAAGAGAAGAAACTAGAGACCAGTTTAGAAGGCACTAGAGATATCTAAGCCATTGCTTCTCAAAATTTAATGTGTATTTGAGTTTCCCGGAGATTGTGTTAGAATGTAGATTCTGACTTAGTAAGGCTATGGTGGGGGCCTAACTTCTAACAATCTCCTAGGCAACAGTGATGCTGCTTGTGGATTAGCAAGATCTAGGCTGATGATAACAGTGGCTTAGGCTAGGGTAGTATAGTGGAGACGACAAATGATCTGATTAGGGATATATTTTGAAGGTAGACCCAAAAGGGCTTGCTGAAGAGGAAACAGAGGCATCAGGGATGACCTCTAAGTTTAAGGGATGGCAAAGATTGTAGGAGGAACTTGTTACAGGGAAGAAATCAAGTGTTCAGTTATGGATATGCTGACTTAGAATCCAAATAGAGATGATCACTAAATGCTATGAACAATAAATCATATAAATCATGTGCGGTGTTACTAGAGACCTAAAATTTTATGATTCTGTACACCACAACGATGAGACTCTTCCTAAGTGTGCTTGGAATTTATTGTACTGTTTTTAAAAATGTAAGCAATAAAAAAAGGCCTTATTGATTTGTGCAGCAATTTCTCTCTCTGCTTCTCTTACATTGACATTAATCAAACAAGCAGTGTTTTCTTGTCCCTGTGCCAATGTTCTTTATGGTGAAATTAACATATTATTTCTCAAATTATTAACGCTGCTCGTAGAAGCGAAAATGTGCATCACTGTGCATATTTAAAGCATATTGTACTCGAGCACTCTCCAGGAATAGAGCTAAATTTTAAAATAAAATAAATTTTCAGTACCTATTGATTCTGGTAGATGCCTCGCTAGGAGACAAATTGCCTAATTTTGCCTGGTCATATAGGCAGTTTCATGATGTGACTAATTATTATTTCTTTCCTGGGCTAAGTTATGCAGTTAGCTTTGTCCCATATTGAGAGCTTGCATGGAAATCAATCTTTACTGATTCCTTTATTACCGAAAGAAGATGGCCGAGACTAGGGTTGTATGGAGGGTCTGTTTACTTATAATTTCTCTAAAAAATCAATCATGTAAAATCTTGGCTTACCCACACTCATTTTCTGAAAGAAGAGCATTTGAAAGGGTCTAAGTTGAAAATTGTGCTGCCACCCTGCTCTTTCATGAGATGGCTGCAGAAATGCTAGGGTTTAACCAGAAAAAAAGTTTTAAGACTTGGACTTGCAACATTTCATATATTTTAATAGACTTTTAAATAGAGCATCCCTGTTCTTAGCACTGCTTTGGTGCTAGCGAAGTTAATGTCCAGTAACTTAAGGTTATGAGAGATGGTTCTTGGTTTTGGGTAGGGGTGAAATAAAGGCAACACAGGGTAGTTTTGGTTTAGAGGACTGGTCATTCTGTGGAACACGTGAAAATTCACTTCACTGTAAGCAAAATCTTTCTAGGAAGCCCTGGGTTTTTTATCTTGTTGTTAAACAATAAAACTTGGTAAGTTTTATGACCAGAAAAAAAAGGGGAGAGGGAGGGGGAGGGGGGAGATATTTCAAGGAAATCCTAGTGATTATGTTTTTATAAATAAGATCCTGAGCAGATGGAAATTAAACCAAAACATTCAATGGCAGGGGTGACGGAAGGTCTGAAGAGGCCTCCCCTAATGGAGAGTGCTGAGCAAGTCAGAACTTCACACCTGTCATCTGAACACCTTTCAATCTGGAACTCTGGGCTAGGACTGACTCTCTGATCTGACAGTTAGGCTTTCTGTTGATTTGGCAGAGTGTGATGGCTAAACAAAGCCATTTTTCAACCCTACGCCGATGTGGTTCTTCTTTGGGCCTCTTTTTCTTGTGTATTATATTAAAACCTAGAATCTATGTCTCACCATAATTATTTTATGAGTTAGTTCAAAGATGTCCCAGTTTTTCCCACTATTGTGTCAATTTTTATAAAATGTATTAACTACTTTATAAAATAAAGTTTATTTTTTGCTTGATAACTTGAGAAGCTAACTTCTTCCCCTTTGCTTTCCCTAGGAGCACTGAATCAAAAAAATTGGGGAAAGAAATATCCAACATGTAATAGCCTCAAACAGTCTCCTATCAATATTGATGAAGATCTTACTCAAGTGAATGTGAATCTTAAGAAACTTAAATTTCAGGGTTGGGATAAAACATCTTTGGAAAACACATTCATTCATAACACTGGGAAAACAGGTAAAATGTTTGCATTTTGTTTGTGACTTTAGTATGTTTTTTAGACCTAGAGGATGTTTAGATTAGTTTCATCTCATTTTCCTTTGAATAGTGTACTATGAACTGGATAGAAAGTATAGGTAGAAAAAATCAAGTAGGACATAGAAAATTGGAAGTTTAGACAACGTTTTGAAAATGTGTTCAAAAAATACAATGACCAAGGCCTGGTCCCATGGCCCAGTGGTTAAGTTCGCTTGCTCCACTTTGGTGGCCCAGGGTTTCTCTGGTTTGGATCCTGGACGCAGACCTAGCACCACTCATCAGGCCATGCTGAGGCAGCGTAACTACATAGCACAACCAGAGGCACTCACAACTAGAGTATACAACTATATAGCGGGGTCTTTGGGGAGAAGAAGAAGAAAAACAAGAAGATGGGCAACAGATATTAGCTCAGATGCCAATCTTTAAAATAAATAAATAAATGACCAAAATGACCAAAGTCGTAATGTCATGTTCTCCAGTAATTTGACAATATTTATACTTCCACTAGAAGATGTGATAAATATAATGAAATATATAGTTAATGTAATTTAATAACTCCATCACTGGTTAGTCACTTAGTCAATCAGGATTTCCTTTTCTTGAGCATTATAGTTCGATCTTGTCTGCTCAGCCTCATCCTGTATTCCATATTTGGATATGAAAAAAGCGATCGACTATAATTGAATTTTAAGAAAAGAAAGTACTAGCACTTCTATGTAGAAAGTTTCAAATTGTATACTATCCTGGGGAAGCACTCTCCAAGTGCTTTTTTTTTTGAGACTATCTTTTTAAAACATGCAAAATATAATACTACAAAAATAATTCCAGTAACCAATAGATGGACAAAATAGTTTTCAAAAAATGAAAAACTTTCCTTTTCTCATATTATATTTTTTAACATTTATTTATTGTCATATTTTAAATGAAATTGTATGTATATCAGGAAGTTAGATAAAAACAAATATACTCATGGGAAAAAAATTAGAAAAAATATTCAAAATTATAACAGTAGCTATGTTGGGATGGTTCTATCATTAGTGAATTTTTTCTCTATTTTTCATATTTTGGTAATATAGTTATTTGAATATAGTAATTTAATTTTAGATCCCGTTAGTTTAGGAATTTTTCTGCATCAGTGACTGATACATAATAAGCACTCAATGAGTATTTGTTGAATGAGTAATTAAGATTATTACATGTTATAGTATATTAATTAAATACATAAAAATATTTCATCCCAAATCTTAACATTTTCATTACCAGTTTTGAAGGATGTTACAAAGCAGTCAAGCATATAATCTCCACTCTGTTTTTCTTAGTGGGTGTGGTCAAGCACTTGATTTTTAGAGCCACAATTTTGGGTTCACTACTGGCTCTTTAAAGTGCAGTGTGGAACCTTGAGCCAGTTACTTAACCTCTTCATGACTCAATTTCCTTATCTGTAAAATAGGGATTATAATGGTGTCTCCTTCATAGGATTGTGTAAGGATCAAATGTTTAATCCGTGTAAAGTAGTTAATGTAATGCATGGTGCATTATAAGTGATAAATAAATGTTGACCATTATTGTTATTGTGCTGGCCATTATTAAATGGAAGTTTATATCTCTAGCTGGTTGGCCAACATGTGGGATTCAGTCCCTAATGCCAGCAGTGGTTTCTGCCTAATGGAACAAAGACCATTTAAATCTGATTGAGAGATATTGAAGTCTTACATTAGGCTCTCAAGAGAATCATTAATTTCTAGACGACTCATAGTACCATCAAATAATATCTGCTATGGAACTCAAATAGGAGAGTTTAAGATTTCGAGGGTTACTACTTAGGGTTCAAACATGAGATGGCTAAAACCTCTTCAAGAGGAATGGGATTCCCAGTCTCCTTGCCACAGCCTAGGACAGTTCTGGAGCTTGGTGAAGCCCAGCGTGATGTTTGGAGGGGTTAGGAGGTGGGACAAAAGCAGCAGCTCGAAAAGGAGTAGAAATGGGGTGAAAGTGAGAAGGTGAGGGGCACTCCCAAGAGAAGGCTTTCTTCTCTCCACTCTTCTATCCCTTCTCCCTTTACTCATTCCCCTCACTACATCAAATGCCTTAGGGAAGCAGAGTTTTGGGGGAATGACAGTCTCAGGACACTGAATAAACAGGGCAGGTGCACTGGCTGGCTTCTGCTATTAAAGTTGTACAGCAGTTAAGTTCTTTGGTTTAATTTACATTGGTGGCAACAAAATATATTAAATACATTGTACAGAGTTACAAGTTCAGCTTCCAAAATGACAGCTTAGTATTTTTTTTAATTTATCCAATAAATGACTTTCTTTTTTTAAAAAATGTTTTTCTGTTGTTTTTTGGTTTTTCTTGCCAGGGAAGATTCACCCTAAGTTAACATCTGCCAGTCTTCCTCCTTCTTGTCTTCCCTTCCCTCCCCACCCCAAAGCCCCACTGCATAGTTGTGTATAGTTGTAAGTTCTTCTGGCTCTTCTGTGTGAGCCGACACCATCACAGCATGGCTACTGACAGATGAGGGGTTTAGTTCCGCCCCAGGAACTGAACCTGAGCTGCCGAAGCAGAGCACGCGGAACTTTAACTACTAGGCCATCAAGGCTCGCTCAATGATTTTCTTAACGTACTTTTAATAGAAGAAAATTTAGCGGAAATCTGTAATTTTTATTTTCAGAAACTTAGATGCAACTTTATTGTTTTGTTTTGATTTTTTCAGTGGAAATTAATCTCACTAATGACTACCATCTCAGTGGAGGAGTTTCAGAAATGGTGTTCAAAGCAAGCAAGATAACTTTTCACTGGGGAAAATGCAATATGTCATCTGATGGATCAGAACATAGTTTAGAAGGACAAAAATTTCCACTTGAGGTAAGTCAGTAGTTCTGCTGGCTACTATTTCATTTTCTAAATCATTGAGATTTTATTAGTTTGTAATCAAGTTTTATAATTTATACAGTTATTTCCTGTTTACTTGGCTAATGTCTGCCTTCCTCACTAGACTAAGCTCAGTAAGACCCATATTTGATTTTCTACTTCCTGGTAACCTAGAGTGTCCCGTTATGGAGGATCCATAAATGTTGATGAGTGAATAAGTGATAAAATTCTTTCCATAAAAAAGAAAAACAAAGCAAAAAAAGGGGAAATTTCACCAATATATTAGAGGATCAAAGAAATGCAAATTAAAATCAGAAAATTTTTTGGCTTTAAAATTGGCAAAATAAATATAATAGATAATGAGTATATGGTGAAGTCAACACTTTCATACATGTCTGAAGAGTATAAATTGGTAGAATTTCTGGGAAACAGTTTACTTGTTGTATCAAGAACTTTAAATGTTTTATCCTCAATACCCATCGTTTCAATTTGTAACAATTTAGTCTAAAAAATCATTAAAGTCATGCTCAAAAAATTATGTGCAGGGGCTGGCCTGGTGGTGCTGCAGTTAAGTTTGCACATTCCGCTTCTCAGTGGCCCTGGGTTTGCCGGTTCAGATCCCGGGTGCTGACACGGCACCGCTTGGCAAAAGCCATGCTGTGGTAGGCGTCCCACACATAAAGTAGAGGAAGATGGGCACAGATGTTAGCTCAGGGCTAGTCTTCCTCAGCAAAAAGAGGAGGATTGGCAGCAGTTAGCTCAGGGCTAATCTTCCTAAAAAAAAAAAAAATTATGTGCAAAGATATATTTACAGTAATAAAAAGTTGAAACAAAAGGAAATGATTAAATATGTTAAGATGGAATGTTATAAATCATGTAAAAATCATGTTTTGAATGATTTATTTACACAAAAAAGCTTCATCATAAGCTATTAATGCTTTTAAAAAGCAGAATATAAAATAGTATACACAGTATTATTATTCTGATTTTGTAAAATATGAAAACTAATTAAATAGTGGCTGAGGGCACAGAGTCTGAGTCAAATGGACTAGGTTTGAATACTGGCTTCTCTGTTTAATTATTGGCTATATTGACTTGACATTGTATGAACTATTTAATTTACCTAAGCTTCTGTTTATCTTCTGTGAAATTGACATAATAGTAACAGTACCTGCCTATAAAGTTATTATGAGGACTAAATGAGAGAATGAATTACTACTATTGTAAAAATAATTGAGGGAAACTAAGAAAACATTAACAGTGATTTTCTCTGGGTAATGGCATTATTGGTGCCTTTACTTAGCTTCTTTAAAATTCACATATTTTCTAAATTACCTATAATGAAACTGTATTATTTTTATAATCCAAAATCGTTACTGATGATAAAAATAAAACTGAGCTAATTATCTCTTAAAGGACTAAAAAGTTTTTTTACTGTGGACAATTATGTTCAAATTTATAGCTTCTAATTTTTTTAATATATTAAATATCCTTAAAGAAAAGCACACATCAACTTTGGTTTGTCAAAGTAATGAAAGTCAACTCACTAAACACGTAGCATTCTCACTTCTGAGGGTTTAGCTCTCTCACAATATTACCTATTTAAAACAAAGATGAAAATTAAGAAAAACCCTAACAACTACAAAAGCCCTCAGCCAGCAAAATAAGTGGTACAGAATCTGTGTGCTAAACCACATATGTTTTTCTTATTTAAAAGCCCCTCAAGCCATCTATCAGAGGTATTATTTGTGTGTTTGTTTTTATTGAGATCATGATAGTTTATAACATTGTGAAATTTCAGTTCTATTTGTTAGTCACCATATATATGTGCCCCTTTACCCCTTATGCCCACCCCTCTGGTAACCACTAATCTGTTCTCTTTGTCCATGTGTTTGTTTATCTTCCACATATGAGTGAAATTAGGTGGTGTTTGTCTTTCTCTGTCTGGCTTATTTCGCTTAACATCATACCCTCAAGGTCCATTCATGTTGTTGCAAGTGGGACAATTTTGTCTTTTTTTATGGCTGAGTAGTATTTCATTGTATATATGTATACCATATCTTCTTTATACATTCATCAGTTGATGGGCATTTGGGTTGCTTCCATGTCTTGGCTATTGTCAATAATGCTGCAGAGAACCTAGGGATGCATAAGTCTCTTTGAATTGTTGATTTCAAGTTGTTTGGATAAATGCCCAGTAGTGGGATAGCTGGGTCAAATGGCATTTCTATTTTCAATTTTTTGAGAAATCTTCATATGGTTTTCCATGGTGGCTTCACCAGTTTGCATTCCCTCCAGCAATGTATGAGGATTCGCTTTTATCCACATCCTCTCCCAACATTTCTTGTTTTGTCTTAGTAATTATAGCCATTCTACCAGGCATAAGGTGATATCTCGTTGTAGTTTTGATTTGCATTTCCCTAATTATTAGTGATATTGAACATCTTTTCATGTGCCTATTGGCTGTCTGGATATCTTCTTTGGAAAAATGTCTGTTCATATCCTCTGGCCATTTTTTGATCAGGGTATTTGTTTTTGTGTTTTTGAGTTGTGTGAGTTCTTTGTATATTTTGCAGATTAACCACTTGTTTGATAGATTATTTGCAAATATTTTCTCCCAGTTGGTGGGTTGTCTTTTCATTTTGTTCTAGGTTTCCTTTGCCTTGCAGAAGCTCTTTAGTCTGATGAAGTCCCATGTGCTTATTTTTTCTTTTGTTTCCCTTGTCTGAGTAGACATGGTATTCAAAAAGATGCTAAGACCGATGTCAAAGAGTGTACTGCTTATATTTTCTTCTAAGAGTTTTATGGTTTCATGTATTAGCTTCGAGTCTTTGATCCATTTTGAGTTAGTTTTTGTGTATGGCAAAAGATAATGGCCTACTTTCATTCTTTTGCTTGTGGCTGTCCAGTTTTTCCAGCACCATTTATTGAAAAGACTTTCTTTTCTCCATTGTATGTTCTTGGCTCCTTGTCAAAGATTAGCTGTCTGTAGAGGAGTGGTTTTATTTCTGGGCTTTCAATTCTGTTCCATTGATCCATGTGTCTGTTTTTGTACTAGTACCATGCTTCTTTGATTACCATAATAGTATATTTTGAAGTCAGGGATTGTGGTGCCTTCAGCTTTGCTCCTTTTTCTTAGGATCACTTTAGCTATCCAGGGTCTTTTGTTGCCCCGTATGAATTGTAGGATTCTTTGTTCTGTTTCCATGAAGAATGTCATTGGGATTCTGATTGGGATTGCATTGAATCTGTAGATTACTTTAGGTAGCATGGACATTTTAACTATGTTTATTCTTCCAATCCATGTGCATGGAATATCATTTCTTTATGTCATCATCTATTTCTTTCAATAATTTCTTATAGTTTTCATTGTATGGGTCTTTCACCTCCTTGGTTAAATTGATTCCTAGATATTTTACTCTTTTTGTTGCGATTGTAAATGGGGTTGTATTCCTGATTTCTCTTTCTGTTAGTTCATTATTAGAGTATAGAAATGCAACTGATTTTTGTAAGTTGATTTTGTACCCTGCAACTTTGCTGTAGTTATTATTTCTAATAGTTTTCCAATGGGTTCTTTAGGGTTTTCTATATATAGACTCACGTCCTCTGCAAACAGTGAGAGTTTCACTTCCTTGCTAATTTGAATACCTTTTATTTCATTTTCTTGCCTAATTGCTCTGGCTGAAACCTCCAGTACTGTGTTGAATAAGAGTGGCAAGAGTGGGCACCCTTATCTTATTCCTGTTCTCAGAGAGATGGCTTTCAGGTTTTCCCAGTTGTGTGTGGTGTTGGCTGTAGGTTTGTCATATATGGCCTTTATTATGTTGGGGTACTTTCCTTCTATACCCATGTTATTGAGAGTTTTTGTCATAATTGATGTTGGGTCTTGTCAAATACTTTCTTTGTGTCTATTGAGATGATCATGTGATTTTTATTCCTCATTTTGTTAAAGTGGTGTACCACATTGATTGATTTATGAATGTTGAACCATCCCTGCATCCCTGGTATAAATCCCACTTGATGGCTATAATCAGTTGGCCAATATTTTGTTGAGAATTTTTGCATCTACATTCAACAACCATATTGGCTGTAGTTTTCCTTCTTTGTGTTGTCCTTGTCTGGCTTTGGGATCGGGAGGATGTTGGCCTTGTAAAATGTGTTAGGAAGTGCTCCATCTTCTTCAGTTTGGGGGGATAGTTTGAGAAGGATAGGTACTAAATCTTCTTTGCATGGTTGGTAGAATTCTCCAGAGAAACCGTCTGGTCCTGGACTTTTATTTTGTGGGAGGTTTTTGATTACTGTTTCAATCTCTTTACTTGTGATTGGTCTATTCAGACTCTCTATTTCTTCTTGATTCAATTTTGGGAGGTTGTATGAGTCTAAGAATTTATCCATTTCTTCTAGATTGTCCAATTCGTTGGCCTATAGTTTTTCATAGTATTCTTTTATAATCCTTTTTTATTTCTGTGGTATTCATTGTAATTTCTCCTCTCTCATTTCTAATTTTATTTATTTGAGATTTCTCTCTTTTTTTCTTAGTTAATCTGGCTAAGGTTTGTCAATTTTGTTTATCTTCTCAAAGAACCAGGTCTTAGTTTCATTGATCCTTTCTACTGGGTTTTGTTTTTTGGGGGTTTTTTTTGTCACTATTTCACTTATTTCTGCTCTAATTTTTGTTATTTCCCTCCTGCTGATTTGGGGCTTTGTTTGTTCTTCTTTTGCTAGTTCTATTAGGTGAGGTTTAAGATTACTTATTTGAGATTTTTCTTGTTTGTTAAGGTGGGCCTGTATTGCTATGAATTTCCCTCTTGGGATCACTTTTGCTGCATCCCATATGAGTTGGTATAGTGTATTTTCATTTTACTTTGTCTCCAGATATTGTTTTGGTTTCTCCTTTAATTTCTTCACTGATCCATTGGTTGTTCCAGTAGCATGTTGTTTAGTCTCCACATATTTGTCACTTTCCCAGCTTTTTTCTTGTAGTTGATTTCTAGTTTCCTAGCATTGTGGTTGGAAAAGATGCTTGATATGATTTAAATCTTCTTAAATTTATTGAGGCTTGTCTTGTTTCCCACCGTTTGTCTATCTTTGAGAGTGTTCCATGTGCACTTGAAAAGAATGGATATTCTGCTGATTTTGGATGGAGTGTTCTATATATATCTATTAAATCCATCTGTTCTAGTTTAGTTCCACTATTTCCTGTTAACTTTCTGTCTAGATGATTTATCCATTGATGTAAGTGGGGTGTTGCGATCTCCTACTATTATTGTGTTGCTATTAATTTCTCCATTTAAGTCTCTTAATAGTTGCTTTATGTACTTTGGTGATCCTGTGTTAGGTGCATATTTATTTATATGTTATGTCCTCTTGGTGGAGTGTCCATTTTTTCATTATATACTACCCTTCTTTGTCTCTCATTGCCTTTTTTTTAATCTTGAATTCTACTCTATCTGATAAGTGTGGCAACACCTGCTTTCTTTTTTTTTTTTTTTTTTAAGATTTTATTATTTCCTTTTTCTCCCCAAAGCCCCCCGGTACATAGTTGTATATTCTTCGTTGTGGGTTCTTCTAGTTGTGGCATGTGGGACACTGCCTCAGCGTGGTCTGATGAGCAGTGCCATGTCCGCGCCCAGGATTCGAATCAACGAAACACTGGGCCGCCTGCAGCAGAGCACGTGAACTTAACCACTCGGCCACGGGGCCAGCCCCAACACCTGCTTTCTTTTGTTTGCCATTAGCTTAGAGTATCATCTTCCATCCCTTGACTCTGAGGCTGTGTTTGTCATTGGAGCTGAGATGTGTTTCCTGGAGGCAGCATATTGTTAGGTCTTGTTTTTTAATCCATTCAGCCACTTTGTGGCTTTTGATTGGAGAATTCAATCCATTTACTTTTAGAGGGATTATTGATGTATAAGAGCTTAATACTGCCATTTTATCACTTGTTTTCTGGTTGTTCAGTATTTCTCTTGTTTCTCGTCTTGTGTATTTCCAACTGCCAGTTCAGTTTAGTGGTTTTCTCTGATGGTTTTCTCAGTTTTCTCTTTATTTATCATTTCTGCCTCTGTTCTGATTTTTAGTTTAGTGGTTACCATTAGGTTTGTATAAAAGATCTCATAGATGAGATAGTCCATTTTCTGTTAGCCTCTTATTTCTTTAGTCTAAGCAGGTTCCATCTCTTTCTTCTTCCCTGTCTAAGCTATTGTTGTCAAAACTTATTCCATTTTGTGTGGTGGTGAGTTTGTGATTAAAATGAAGTGACTATAGTTATTTTTGATGCTTTCCTTCCCTTTATCTTTAATATTATAATTAGGTGTTTGCTAACCAGTTCTGATAGAGTTACAATTTTTTGATTTTGTCTATTTATCTCCTTGCTCAAGGCTTTGTAAGCCCTTTCTTTTTTTCTTTTTTTCTTTCTTTTTTTTTTTTCAGGTATGAGGGCCTTCTTTATCATTTCTTGTAAGGGATGTCTTGTGGTGATGAACTCCCTCAGCTTTTCTTTATCTGGGAAAGTTTGTATTTCTCCATCATATCTGAAGGCTAACTTCACTGGATTGAGTATTCTTGGCTGAACGTTTTTGTCTTTCAGAATTTTCAATATATCATTCCACTCTCTTCTAGCCTGTAAGGCTTCTGCTGAGAAATCCACTGAAAGCCTGATAGGGGTTTGTTTGTAGGTTATTTTCTTTGGCCTTGCTGCCCTTAATATTTTTTCTTTGTCATTGACGTTTGCCAGGTTTACTATTGTATGCCTTGGAGAAGGTAATTAGGAGTTCCATTAGCTTCATTTACATGTAATTACAACTCCCTCCCCAGGTTTTGGAAGTCCTCAGCTGTTATTTCTTTGAACAAGCTCTCTGCTCCTTTCTCCCTCTAAAATACCTATAATCCTTGTGTTGTATTTCCTAATTGTCAGATATTTCTAAGAGAATTTCTTCATTTCTTTTTAGTTTTAGTTCTCTCTCCTTCTCCATCTGCAGCATTTCCATATTTTTGTCCTCTGAATTATTAATTCTCTCCTTGATAATATCAGCTCTATTTTTTAAGGATTCCAGATTTTTCTTTATCTCAATCATTGCATTTTTCATCTCCAGCATTTCTGATTTTTTTCATCATTTCAATATCTTTTTGTGAGGAAGTCCCTCTGCTCATTAATTTTATTCCTGAGATCATTGAACGGTCTTTCTGAGTTTTCTTGTAACTCATTGAGTTTCTTTATGATAACTTTATGATAACTATCTTGAATTCTCTGTCATTTAGATTGTAAATTTCTGTGACTTCAGGTTGATTTCTGGGTACTTGTCATTTTCCTTCTGGTCTGGAGTGTTAATATACTTCCTTATGCTATTTGATGAGGTGGACTTTTGCGGTCACATAGCGGTAGTATCTGGTCACAGATTCCACCTGTCACCACTGGGTAGAGTAAGAGAGGGCAGGAGCTTTGTTTCCTGAGTCTGCTGCTACCCCCTGGAAGATGTGCCTGTCCATTGGAAGCCATGCTGACAGAGTCCATCTGCATTTGCCTACTGGCTGCTGGTGCTTTACACACATAGGTGCAGGCTCTCTGGCAAGGATCTCTTGCTCTGGGTGACTGGCTGAGCTGGTGTGCCAAGGTGGGGGGAGGGGCACTTTCTTCTTCGTGTGTGATCGTGTGCTCTTCCTCTCTGCACTCACTGTCTGCCCATCTGGGCTGCTCAGCTTGGTGTGGATACCCCCACAATTGCTTAGCTGCCTCTGTGTGGAGTGTTCCCACAGGCTGGGAGGCAACTCTGAAAGCACAAGCATTCCCACGGAGAGCTGCCTTTTCCCCGTTCTCCTCTCAGTCACATGCTGGCTGCCACATGAGTCCTGCACTCTAGATTGCTCCTGCTTGGGAAGGAGAGGAGATCTGCTTACCTCCCTCCACTGCCTCCTGGGGGAGTCCAGCACCCCCTTCTTCAGACATATGGCTGTGTGGATCTCTCACTTGTCTATTGTGTTGTGTGAATGTCCTCTATTGGTTTAGGAATGTCATTTTCATTGTATCTTACGGGAGGGAGACTGAGGGAAGAGCTCACTCCACCATGATCCTGATGTCACTCTCTGTGGTTTTTTTAAAAAACCTTCTCCAGGTAATTGTGCAAGCAAGGAAACTAAGGGGCATCAAGGATGCTCTTTTTTTTCCTGATCTCCCACATCCTATAAACAAATCTTCTCAGTTCTGCCCTTAAATGATACGGGAGGTTAGAAAAAGTTCAAAGCACTCTTGTCTTGGATTATTAAATGCCCCTAATCTGGTCTCCCTCTCTCCAGCCTTGCTCCCTCCCCACCCCTGTGAGCTGAGATGATCAACAACTTTCCTTTGCCCTCAAGGGAAAACTGCTGGGACTGCCTCACAGTCCTTCCTGGTGTGGCCCTGCCTACTCCTCCAGCTTCATCTCTCTCTTCCTCCCTCACATATGCTCAGCTGAAATCACAACAAACTACTTTCAGTTTCTCACATTTCTCATATTTTCTTGCCTGCTAGCCTTTTCTGAGCCAGTCCCTCTGACTTGAACACATGTTCATCTCTTCTGTCTTTTCATCTGTCAGCTTTTAAGCTGCCCATCCTTCAGGGGTCAGCTTAGAAATCCTCTCTCTGAAAAGACTTTAGTGAGAACCAATGGCAGGAGCCACTGCCAACCTCTGCTTCACACCTGCTATTTCTCTGATCATAGACCTACCACACGTGAATCTTCTCAGAGGCTTTCTGCTCTTCCCTTCATTATACTTCTAAACTAGCTGAGTTGCCTGATTTCCAAGCCCATGACATGAGGAACACCAGATTATAGGTGAGAATAGAAGCCATTATAGACAGGTATATGGACTGAAATAGAGATTAACAAGGGATAGCCTTGTAGCAAGTGAGGAAACTTAAAATAACTTAAAACTCTTGCTATTTTTCAGGTAGAAGCAGAAAGTCCTTGAGAGTTTCACTATTAATAGAGTACAGTATGATAATGTCCAGAAATGGTAACTCAGACCATCAAGAAAGGCATGTCTGTTCAGGAAAGAATGAAACCATATTTGAAAGAATTCTAGAAAAATAGTTAAAATAACATGTGATAATTTTTTACACTTGCTAATTGCTCCAGTAAATCATTACTTCAGTGTCCCCTGGTCATCACAAAATGCTAATTTCTGTTCTAGATGTGTCTAACTTTGTCTTTCCTTCCTCACTGAAGGATGGTCAGTAATAGTAAATGTCATTGTATGTACATGTAATTGATAAAATCTCTTGAAATATACTGATATAGAGTTATACGGTTTATAGAATTTTTATAATAGAATTTATTAAATTGGTAAATTATTGTCTCTTTGCTGACTTTTGTGAAGTCTTCATATGTAATTAAGCTGTCGTTGTTTTATTTATAGATGCAGATCTACTGTTTTGATGCAGACCGGTTTTCAAGTTTTGAGGAAGCAGTTAAAGGAAAAGGAAAGTTAAGAGCTTTGTCCATTTTATTTGAGGTAATCCTTATACGTAGATTTCGCATTAACTTTTTAATCACATAAAATATTGATGTGAAATATCAAAACATACTTTTTTAACAAATAGAAGAGCTTACAAGTGGAATGATAGCTGGTGGTCATTTTCAAAGAGAACAACCCCTTGGCTAGTATGTTTAAAAGGAGGCTCTGGTATTCGTTAATTGCTTCCATCTCTTCCAGCTTCTGTGAGTGCACTGATTTGCTTATTTGTACATGCAAAGCATCATAGCGATATAGCAGTAACCATGAATCATAACATTTTAAATTGTACTTTTCTTAGTGGAAAAAAAGTTATCTGGTTTTTGTTTATTTGTTTTTACCTTGCTGTAAAAAAAAGGTGTGCATTTGGAGGACATTACTTTTGACTACTTAAAATGCAATTCACTAATCTTTGCATTTTATTGAACACTCAGTCAAATATTTTGTCCCATTTTTAGAATTTCCTTCTTCTTTCATAGGTTGGAATAGAAGAAAATTTGGATTACAGAGCAATTATTGATGGAGTCGAGAGTGTTAGTCGTTTTGGTAAGCTACTTGTAGAAATCTCTTTTTCAAGATTCCACTTTGGATGCATATGAATTTTTACACTATTACAAAAATCGCTTGTTCCAAAAGGAGGAAAGGAAGACATTTTTAAAGAGGAGATATCTCATACTTCTTACACTTGACGATTTATACATTTCTCACTAAAAAACAATTTATCAGAAATTTTTGTTGCATAAAAATCATAAAATGTTAATGTAAGTAGGATGTTGAAGTTTTATAATTTTATTCTTGAAAATAATCTAATTACATCGTGCATTTAAAATGTATTTATTCTGTCTCTGCCTTGTACATCACTTAAAGATTCTAATTTCTAGCCAGTTAATTTTATAAAAATCTTATCTTAAAGTGAAAAGAAAATTGTTTACTCAAGTTAAATTTTTTCCCCATTGGTTTCCTTGATAAATCGTTTGCTTTACCAATAAGAGGGCGTAAGATTTTTGGAAGGTGAATGCTTACAAAGGACAAGATGCAATATGCTTTGCTATTGTTCTGCCTGCTATCTCCTGGATGCTGTAATTTGTCATAGCAGATACTTTTGACAACATTGGCAAAAGACATCAAGCCTGTTATTATTATTTTATTTTTATTAAGTACTCACACACAGGGTATTAATGCTGCCCTGAGTTATCAATAAAATGAGTATTATTCCTCTCCAGGAAGCTGCAAAATTTGAAATCAGAAATACAACTCATATAGATCCTTGTCTTGAAAGCAGAAGCCTGGCCTGTGTTAATTCATCTTTGTCAATTACATGTGAGGACCTGAATTAACCGAACTTTCCAGAAGTCAGGAATATGTGAACTCCTGCCATGCAGCTTTCATTGTTTTCTTAAAGGTGCAGTCAAAGGCAAGATGTAGCTGTTATCTCCCTTCATCCACCTAGATTGCAAAATTCAACGTTGACTGTCATAAGCCACAGTTAATTTTTCCCTGATTTAGTCAGAAATTGGATTCTATCCAGACTGAAAGAAGGCAGCTAATTTGAATTCTTACACTTAAACTTGGATCAAATGTGAATTCTGCTTGTTTCTACAGCTTACACCAGCCTGCGGGGACAAGAGTGGTGTTAACGCTGGGTTGTCAGTCCTGACTTGTATAACTCTGGCACTTTGGCCACTTTCTCTTGAGGCCTCTTCAGTTATTTCTGAGGGTCTCTGGGAGGGTGCTTATATGAGTTTAAGAAACAGTTTGCTCATTTTCTTTGACTAAAGTTTACTTTTTCATATGTACTGTCTGCAAGCCATTGAGGGAGGCACCTCCTCAGAGCCACTGCTGCCGTATAATACCCTCCCTGAGAATATGGATTCCATAACAGCGTTATCCTGTCTGTCTCCTGGCTCTTAATTCAGAAGCAGAATTTACAGACTGTTCGTCTGGCTGAGAACACATGCTGGTTTGCCCTCCTTTACCCTCGCTATCTTCTGTCTCTCTACCCTGCTGCTGGTGCACTAACGTCTTCCCGCCTCTTTTGCCAAAAAATAAAATCTTCCACGCCTATCAACCACCCACTGGATACTAAATACTTCAATAAACTAAGCAAGGAGACTTAAAGCTGTTCAGCTGGTAGATGGTAGAGCCAGGGTTTAGATCCTGGCCTGTCCACAAGGTCTGTTCCACTATACTGCAGAGATTTATGTGAGTTATGTGTTTCAGAATACAGGAGCTGTGTCAGTTTGATTTGAATGATTCTTAGATATGGTCTGTCCAAACTAAATAAGTTAAGTATTCCTAAAGTTAAACGTTTCCATTTTGAGAGTTCTTAGGTTAAATCTAGTCCTATTTCAAAGTCTAGAAAATCTCCCCGTGCACAGTGAACTTAAGTCTTCCCACTATTGGCCCCCTGCCCCTGCTGCTAGGAACCTAGAGCGTTAAAGGCAGCGCTTGTCTTTAAACACTAACTCTGGAACCGCAGCTAAACTCCCAAAAACTGCTCCATATTCTCCATATAATGTGAGTTATCCAAAAAACGACACTTTTCAACCATCATCCAGATCATAAAGTCTGTCTTGTTACATCATCGTTGGCTGGTTGCTCCTTTTAAAATATTTTTCTCCAGGAGACGGACCAATTTCTCTTCCCTTCCCTTCTTCTGCCGTACCTGCTCTGTGTTAGGCGTTGTCCTATCCATGGAGTGGTGAGAGAGGGTGATGTTGCAGTGATACAAAGATAGTACATTAATATTCCCCAAGCAGAGCCCACGGAAAGAGAACTGTTAGTTCTCCTACTATCAACCTCCTACAGAAGAGAGATCTGACTGATTGTTTAATCACCAGTGTATATTCAAATGGATAGTAATTAAACGAATGAATGACGGGTCACAGAGTAGTGTTGGCTCAGGTGTGATTCTCTCTTGTGTTAACAATAGGTTATTCAGATGAAGCACATGGTGTTTGCAAGCCACAAAAAACCAACTTAATCCAATTTTCTCATAAGATGATGGTGTAATTGAAAAGCACTACTATAATAGAAAAGTCTTGTGATATCAGACAGAAACTTAAGACATGTATGTACATAACACACAAAAAAGGGGCCAAAATAGTTAACACGTCCATAAGAGAGACTAGATAGGTGCTGTTGAAGTTCAGAGGCAGGAAGTATGGATTCCATATTGGGGTAAGGGTAGGAGAAATCAAAAACTTTCTTCTAGTTCTCTCCTTTCTTAACTTTTCCCCGCTTTAATTTTTTTTTTCCAATTTCAAGAAAATTCTCTATTTCACCATACCTGTTCAAGTCTCACCTCTGTTTTTCCTTTTCTGGCCTGTAGCTCTCTTGGTATCATTTCCCCCTTAATTTAGCAGTGAGTCCATTTCTGGCTCCTTACTTAATTAGCATTCTCCACATTCCCACAGAACGTTTGTAAGATAAATTTGTCTTCAGCAGAAAAAGAAACAGTTGTAGTCCATTGATAATTAAGAAGAAGCTTATTTAATCAAAATTTTCAGATATTAAAAACATAAATCTGAAAATGGAAAATATTCACATATTAAAAATAAATATTTTTCTCAGTTTCTGAACACTTTGAGTCTGAATTCTAACAATTTCATCTTGACATAAGATGAGAGGAAGATGTACTTTTAGAAGTTACTAATTAATCCATTAATCCAAATATAACTTGAGTTTTCTAATCAATTAAAACTAGATTGAGGTTGTGTCTACACAACACTATCAGTTTAGTCAATAGGTTTTTACTTCTAAGATTCAGTCTTATATTCAGACTGGAAGCAGTTATCTACAACTTTAATTATTAACAGCCTTCCTACTTCCTTTAAAAGTTTTTGTATTGTGGAAAAATAGCATTCGCGATAATCTAACTTTTAATCTCATGTTTTTCTTTGAGCCTTTCTGGGTATGTCCAGTCCTCATAGAGTTTGGAGCTGGACTAGACGGTTGAGATCATCTAGTGCAGTCATTTCATTTTATAATGAGCACAGTGGGGCTCAAAAAGACTCAAAGCTTGTACAGGCTTCACTCTTCTTGGGGTTTTCAACCCTGGCTGCGTGTTTGAATCACCTGGGAACACTTTTTTAAAAATGCAGGTATCCAGGCCCCACCACTAGAGATCTGAGTTAAAGTGGTCTACAGTGGGGTCTGGGATGTTGGTATTTTTTTGAAAGCTCCCCAGATGATTCAAATAAGGGGTGAAACTACTGGTTTACGTTGTGCCACCTCATTTAGACTAGATTAGATTGGCTTCAGGGACTATATCTTAATGACCTAAATCTACTAGATGGAGCAGAGGACATGTCCATGGCTGGGTCGTTGAGGATGGGAAAATGAGTTAGACACAGCTCTCTCTGGTAAGTAGATTGCTGCTTATATGAGTGAGGGCTGGTACACAAAAAGCTAAATGACCAAGGCAGGGCTATTAGTAAGTGCTATTGGAAAGATGCAAAAACAAAAATGAGACTATCCAAGGAGACAGATATAATTGGATTGTTTCAGGGTTCTAAGGCTAGATGGACCATTCAGGAAAGCTCTACTAATTTTCTGTCAGAATTCTCTATTCTAGATACAAGTTATATATACTTGTATATATAGCAAGAATAAATCAATATATAATTTTGTGTGTATATATACTATCTGGAATATTTAGTATAATATATATTATATAATACGTGTTATAGTAATAACATATATGTTATCTGGAATATATTTTCCACTCTTTGTCTTGCTTTTTACTCTCTTAATAGTGACTATTGATGAATAGATCTTGATTATCATGGACTAAAATCCATTGTGTGCCATTTCAGAAATCTTAACCTACCATAAGGTTATGAAAATAATTTTCTGTGTTCCCCTCTAAAAGCTTTATCATTCTGTTCACATTTAAATCCACAATCTATTTAGAGCTGATTTGTGATTATGGTGTAGAGAATAAAGATTAACTTGACTGTATGAAGTAGGGAATCAAGATGAACGTTTTTCCATAAGTTGATACAGCACTGTTTATTGAAAAGGCTGTCCATTCTAACTACACAGTAACTTTTTCTGTCATAAGTCAAATGACCGTGTGTGTGTGGATCAGGGCTCTCTATTCTCTTCCATTGATCTCTTTGCCTATCTTTCCTAAAATATCTCACTATCATGATTTCTATAGCTTTATATAATAGGTCTTCTTATCTTAGAGTGAAAGTTCTCCAATAACCTTGTGATTGTTCAAGATTGTCTTAACTTTTCTTTGCATTTCCATTTAAATTTTAAGATCAACATTTCAGTAAACACACACACGCACACAGAAAGCCCTTGTGGGATTTTGATTAAAATTTCGTTGACTCCATAAATCAATTTGGGGGAAAATCAACACCTTCACAATAATGAATCTTCCAACTCACGAACAAAGTATTTCCCAGCATTTTAAGATTTTATCTAATTCCCTCAAGAAAGTTCTGTAACTTTCAATAGAGATATTTTATACTTCACTTGTTAGAATCACTTGTATTTGATATTTTATTGCTATTATAAGTTACATGGTTTTTAATTTCATTTTCTATTGTTTGATACTGGTACATAGAAATATAATTAATTTTTGTATATTGATCTTGTGTGCAGTGACTTTGCCAAATGCATTCATTAATTCTAAAAGTCTATAAATTATTTTTCAATATTTTACATGCACAATCATATTGTTTGCAAATTATGATGGTATCATTCCTTCCTATCCAATCTTTGTGACTTTTGTTTTCTTTTTCTTACTTTGTTGCACTGGCCTAGTCCTCCAGTTCAGTGTTAAATAGAAATGGGGACAGCAGGACATTCTTGTCTCATTCTTTATCTCTAGGGGAAAAGCTTTCAACAAGTCAACCTTAAATATGATGTTTATTGTTGGCTTTTGAAAATAATCTTCATCAAAATAAGGTTTTGTTTTTGTTTTCCGTGAACTGGTATTGACTCTTATCAAATGATTTTACTCTATTGCGACGGTCATATGATTTCTGAATATTTTCTGTATGTAATATAATCTTTCCAGAGTCTTGCTGGTGTAAAGATAAAACATCTAACCTAATATACATAAGAATGTTTGGAATAGGGGGCTGGCCCCGTAGCCGAGTGGTTAAGCTCATGCGCTCCGCTGCAGGCGGCCCAGTGTTTCGTTGGTTCGAATCCTGGGAGCGGACATGGCACACTGCTCATCAAACCACGCTGAGGCAGCATCCCACATGCCACAACTAGAAGGACCCACAACGAAGAACATACAACTATGTACCGGGGGACTTTGGGGAGAAAAAAGGAAAAAAATAAAATCTTTAAAAAAAAAAAAAGAATGTTTGGAATATTCCGGTTTTATCACCATTTTTGAAGTATATCTAAAATTTTCCTAAAATTTCAGTTCTGATTAAATACACAACCAAGTGTATGTCTCCATTTCGTAGAAGCTTTGAAAAGCTGAGTTCCAGTGTTGGGATTCCAGCTGAGATGTATGTTATTACTTTGTAGGGAAACAGGCTGCTTTAGATCCGTTCATATTGCTGAACCTTCTGCCAAACTCAACTGACAAATATTACACTTACAATGGCTCGTTGACATCTCCTCCCTGCACGGACACCGTTGACTGGATTGTTTTTAAAGATACAGTGAGCATCTCTGAAAGCCAGGTAATCTTGGAAATTCAAACAAATGAAGTCATTTGAAGCAATTTAAAAAGTATCATTTTCTAAGCTTTAGTACAGAATACCTGTTTTAAAGCATTTACTGATGCTTTTGAAGCAGATAGTTAAATGATGTGTTAAATTATCTTCTTTACAGTTGGCTGTTTTCTGTGAAGTTCTTACGATGCAACAGTCTGGTTATGTCATGCTGATGGACTACTTACAAAATAATTTTCGAGAACAACAGTACAAGTTCTCTAGGCAGGTGTTTTCTTCGTATACTGGAAAGGAGGAGATTCATGAAGCAGGTATGTATTGAAATAGAATTTTCCTACAAACCTCACAGATTCAGCATTGTAGGAGGTAATTGTGGTATAATGGAAAATATCCAAGACTTAGATTTCTAAAAATATTTTGATTGTTAGCTTTGTAGCTTTAGGTAAGCTATTTAACTTCTCTGAATTTGTTACCACGTTTATAAAATGGCAATTAAAAATATCTTTTCTTCGCCACATGAATAACCCCATTTTGCAGATGAGAAACGCTGAGATTCAGTAAGGAAAGTGATTTTCTAAAATACAAAGTAATAGATGGCAAAGCTACATACACGCCTCCAACTTTATGGCATCTGCCTGTGCTGAGAGCTATAAGAGAAGAACGAACAAGGGGCCAAGGTGTTCAGAGCTTCTGGTTGAGGCGATCAGAAACCTCCATGGGAGAAGCACATTTTATTTCTGGCTCTAATATTTGGTATTGTCTTCCTTTTTTTATTTGCCCCCATCGGTATACTCTTTACTTGTCAGATCTTTTTTCTTTTTTGCAAGTCCCATAGTCATTTGAAAAGATGGCAGTAGAAGTAGACAGAAAAATCCTTCCTTTGATTCCTTTGCTTTTGCAGTTCTTTTTTTTTTAATTTTGTTTATTTATTTATTTTTATTGAGGTGACATTGGTTTAGTACATGGAGCCAAGTCTTGACTCATGATTTGGGTTTTAAAGTGCGTGTCTTTGTGTTGGCAGCTCCCAGACAAGAGCTACCACTTAGTAGGCATTGAAACCAAAGGCACCGAATTATTAATGAATTGAAAAGGTCTTTTCCCCATCTTCTTTCTTTGGGGAAAAGGCGTTTGTCCTTGTCAGGCCCAGGCGATGGAGAAACGCAGGGGGAAAGTCCCTGGAGTGCCCTCCGTGTCTTTTGAAGCTGACTCAGCAGTCAGAAGCTTTGTCAGTGTCAGAGGACACAATCAGTTGCATCTGCTGACTTGTCCTTTTCAGTTAACACTGAGGGTGTCCTGGTTCATGAAAGAAATAGTTGAAGTGGCCTTTGCTTTGGGGACTTAAAACCCTTCCAAGTACATGGTCTTCTTTGATCTCAGCCCTGCAATGAATTTTTGGCCGTGTATAATATTAATTTAATAATCATCTGCTTTTGAAGATTAGGCCTTAAAAGAGCATAGTTCTATTGTTTTAATGTGATATTTGTGAGAATTGTTGATCCTTTAGCAGCAGCAGCAGAAAATAGAGCACAAGACAACAATGATGAATGGCTGCATTTAATGTGACATTAAGTTTCAAATTAAATTGCCCCAAAGTGAGGAAATTTAATTATATTTCTACCAGCCATCCTAAATACTAAAACATCCTGTCTGGTAAATAATAGACAATTGATTAGAAAACAGGAGCAGATTTAACCATCTCCTTTTCTAAAATCCAGATGTCCAAATAACAAATTAAATAAATAAAATTCTTTTTTGACATGGGCTTTCATCAGTTTTATTTTATTAAAACCCTTCAGTGGCTCCCCATTGGTTTTAGAATAAAACTATTTAATGTAGAACATTGTTGTTTTCACAGTTAAGTGATGAAGACTGAAGGTAATAACAACAGTCGTAGCAACCATGTATTGTGTGAACCAGTGTGTTCAACCAGGCATCGAACCATACAATATCTGATTTAAATCTCGCATCACTCTTATAAATTGGCCTCATTTTCCTCATTTCACATTGTAGGATGCTGCTATTAAGTGGCTTGCCCAAGTTCACAGAACTATAAAGGGCTGGAGTCAGTGTTTGAACCAGATCTTCCTGATTCTAAAGCCTTCCAAAGCTCACTCCACTTGGCTTTATGTTTATAAGGGAACATAACTCCTGCCTCTACAACACACTGTCTCCTTTCTACTTTCTTGAGCTGAATTTGAGAATGAGAATTGAATTTATGTTCAGGATTTAATCTTTATTAAATTTAATCTGAAAATAAGTTTTTATTACATGAACATTATAAAAAGTAGAAAATACAGATAAGCACACAAAAGAAAATAAAAATCCCCTATAATGTCACCACTTAGAAATAACCACTATGAGGATTTGGGTGAATGTCCTTCCAGACCTTTCTCTTAAATTAAAGATATATTATTATAGCTCACAAAAATGAGACTCCACTCACCTATATCTGTTTATTGATTTTGTTTTACTCACTGATATAAATAGATCTTTAAAACACCATTCTTAATTTTATGTAGTATTCTATTGAATAGTCATAATGATTTTATTGAACCAATTCCTCAGTTTTGGACATTCAGTTTATGCTTACATATTTTGCTTTTATAAATATCTAACTTCTCATTTTGACCCAGAGAGAAGTAAGAGGTGGCATGAAAATTGTCAGAATTCTCCTCTCAAGAAATGCATTGTAGAAAAATGCATTTTGCTGAATACATTGCAAAAACTATGTGATATCTGTATATCCATGTCCGCTCCTTGAGGGGAGAGACTAAATCTTATTCATTTTGCGTTCATAGCAGGAACTCAGTAAATGTTTGTGAATGAATACATATTTTATCAGATCCTCAATCCTCCGTTTTTGCATTTTTATGTAGAGCTGCCGTTTATTAGGCAGGCAGTTCTTTTTGGCATCATGGAATGGACACTGGCTCTTCTAGAATCACAGAATTTAATAGAACCATCTTACCTTGAAGAAGTTAGTAAAAGCCATCTCTGCGATAGAAATACATGTGAACAATACAAACATAGCTTGAGTGTCCAGTAGGTGAAGTTCAGCTTTCTCCCATGGCTTCAAGCCCCAGATGCTTTCCCCCTGCCCCCTTAGCCCACAGCAAGCCTCTCCCACTAGGAAGCAGGGGCCTCTTGAAGCGCAGCAGAAAAAAGCTTGGGGTTTAAAGTCCAATAGACTTTTGGTTTCAAGCCCCAGCACTAATACTTATTAGGTACGTAAAAATTCTCAAGTTACTTAATTTCTCTAAGCCTCAGTTTCTTCACCTATAAAATGAAAGTTAAAAATGGTCACCTTGGGGCCAGCCTGGTGGCACAGCAGTTAAGTTCAGTGCTCCGTTTTGGTGGCCTGGGGTTTGCTGGTTCTGATCCCAGGCACAGACCTACACACCATTCATCAAGCTGTGCTGTGGCAGGCGTCTCACATATAAAATAGAGGAAGATAGGCACAGATGTTAGCTCCGGGCCAATCTTCCTCAGCAAAAAAAAAAAAAAGATTGTTAGCTCAGGGCTAATCTTCCTCAAAAAGAAATAGAAAAAATGGTCAGCTTGTAGGGTTATAGTGAGGTTTAAATGAGCTAAAGTTTTCAAAGCAGTACAGTTCCTTGAACATAGTGTGCTCCAGAGTTATAGCTACTATTGTTGTAATGTGTGTGAGAGAGTGTGTGTGTATATACTCATTATCTTATTATTATATTATCATTATGTATTATATTGTGTATATCCATGATATTGTGTATATCATGGAGAGAGGGAGAGGGAGAGAGAGAGAGAGAGAGAGGCAAGCTATCCCAACAAGTATGGGGTATTATTCAAGATTTCCACGTTTAAGGCTTTGTTTGTTGTATAGAACTATAAACACACTTCAAATCTCATTTGCTAGCATTTTAATATTTTTAATGCAAACTTTTTAAAAAACAGTAAAATATAGAATGTTTCAAGGCAGGGAAGCATGAAAGGGGTGTCTTTATAGCATAATGTTGTACTTGAGCTATGAGAAATTTTCTGTAATTTCCTAAAAAATGTCACGATGAATTATACATCAGTAGACTCACCTCCTTGAAGGTCTGTAGTTGTCAATAGCATTCATTGAGGTGACAGGTACGTTCACACTATGCTTTAACTGTATACAGAAAAGTGACATGAAGATTGTTTACTTCTTAGGAGATTATATATTACAAGTTGAATGGTTGACAGAGTTACTGTGTGTCCCTAGAGAAGATTGACTGAATTAGGTAGAATTTGAGATTTGTTTTGACTGTTTATCTAAAATGAATGATGTAATCATTAAGAACCACAAAACAATGAGATCATTTCTAGTTATTATTTTTAACATTTGTGGCAATGTTTAGTTTTGTTAAGATCTGCTGCTCCCTCTGGGCAACTCACACCCTTAATATTGGTTGTTTTCTGAGTCTGTAAATCTTCAAGCTCCTCTCACAGTAGTTGTCAAAGTACCTATCTCGGGTTTTTTTTTCTTTTTTGGTGAGGAAGATTTGCTCTGAGCTAACATCTATTGCTTATCTTCCTCTTTTTTTTCTTGAGGAAGATTAGCTCTGAGCTAACATCTGTGCCAGTCTTCCTCTCTCTGTTTTGTATGTGCGTCGCTGCCACAGCATAGCTTGACAAGTGGTGTAGGTCCACACCTGGGATCCAAACCTGTGAACCTGGGCCACCAACGTGAAGCATGCTGGACTTAACCACTATGCCATGGGTCTGGCCCCTCTCAGTAGCTTTTAAGTGAGGCTCATAAACCTCAAACAAGGATGTGGTGGCTTTATCAGTGTGCATTCACAAAGTACTTTTGTCATGGGCTGTGCTAAATACCAAACTTGAAGTCAGTGGGAAATAACTGGATAAAACCTAGTGACATCTTAGGTAATTAGGCTATTTTTCTTTGCTACTCCCGAAGAGTTACCACTCTTGTCTTTTCACCTCAGTGTCTTTTTCATGGTGAAAAGACATTTTTACTCATAATCCATGGAGCTAAGACTGGACCTTCCCCTCAGGGCACCTGCCCTTCTTCCAGGGTGGGCACAAAGAACAGCAAAGGCAGAAGGGGACTCGTATCTCCCCTTGGCCATCTGCATCAGCTTTCACGATGAGCTGAGAGACTTGTCGCAGCGCGGAGTCGTCATGTTCTCCTCATTTGTACTTCTCCTTCATTTATTTTTTCTTTTCTCTTTCCACCTTTTTTTCTTTTTCTTCGTGACACTCAATGCTTTGCTTATCTGTTGGTACTTGCTCTGCAAGTCGTGCATGCCTACGTATGACGGATTCACTTTGGTGTAAATTCACCGAAGTAATGAGAAGATAAATGACTTGGTGTCAGCTGAAAGTTTGTGAAGCTCTTACAACTTTTAGTGGGAAAAACATGTAATTTTGAAAAGCACAACCCGCTTTGGGCTAAATGGCAGATTTTTTACAAGTTGATTTTGCATTCCTCTGTAAATGGACCCATTATATTTCATAGCTTAGTAAGTTGAAGGATCAGAGGCTATCATAGGAATGAGCTTCCTAAAGGCAGGGACAGCACCATCTTATTTGTATGTCAAGAGTGCCTGGGACCAAGTGAATGAGATTTGAATGTTAATAAGTTTTTAAGTAAGAACGTTTATTGCTCCCTGTTAAAGGAGACCACGTTCTCCTTGTTTAGATGTGAGGGTCCTTTGCATTTGTACTGAAGCTCTTACTTGTATTCCATGTGACTTGACATGAACCCAGGTTTGTCAGAGGCTGGCTCCTAGCCAAGGGCTTGCCGGAACCAGATTCTCCTTCTTGGCCAGCGTTCCTTAAAGAATCATGAACTGTAACCTAGATCACATGTAGCTTGTGGAAAGGAAGTGGGATGTGTGAGTCAGTCCTGAAGAAGGAAATGGGACCTCAGCACAGTTCTGAACTCCCCATAATCAAGGAAATTATATTTTTTTACTATTTTTTATTTTATTTTTATTATATTATTTTTATTTTTAAAAATATGGACTGCTTCACAAATTTGCATGTCATCTTTGTCCAGGGGCCATGCTAATCTTCTCTGTATCATTCCAACTTTAGTATATGTGCAGCGGAAGCGAGCACTGTTAATATTTTTATTATATCACTTGGTGGTTTGTATATGTTGATCTAGAAAACCCTTTTTGACTTTCAATCCAGTTAATGTGCTTTATAGAGTATATGTCCTTCCAATAGCATAATTAAACCAATTTCAATAAGTAATATAAGGAAAACCTGAAAAATTTAGCGCAAGTTAATAACTTATTTCATGGTCATCACCCAGCTTTATGTGTGGATACCAAGTAGTGTATATGGAATTAACTAGGTTGTTATTTAAAAGATCCAGTCCTACCTTTATAGAAAGGTGATGATTTGGCAAGATGGCAGACTACATACAGAAGTGCAGGCTGTTCTCTTGAATATACTCTAAAGTATTATATCTTTTTTCCATAAAATCCCTGTATTTCAACATCTAAAACATAAAATTTAGCTTCGGCTTTATAGTATATTACTGTTATTGATTATGAATAAACAATAGGAGTGTTTTTAAAATAAACTTAAAATTTAACTATAAACTATTAAACAAATTACCAGTAAACTCCTACAGATTTATAAAGAAGAAAGAAAAGGAATGAAAACCTGATGGCAAGGAAATGCAACTTTCTTTTTAGAGTCCTACTTTATATTAATGCTGATTCTTAAGATTTGAAGTATCTGCTGATTTCTACTATAAAGGCAAGATAAATATAGACATCCTACCAAAGTAGTTTGTGCTATTTAAGTAGTAGTGCTTTGGGTATTGTGCAGCTAATAATTTATATTTTTCTCGAGATTTTTATGCTTTGTGGGCATGCATAAAACTTTAATGCATTTTAAGATAGTTTCATCTTTGGGGAAGAGAATAGTTCACGTTAAAACATTCCGACTCTCTAAAAAGTGGGATTGATTTTTGGAGGACAGAATCTGCAAGTGATATTGTTCAGAATTGCTTTCAACCTCCTAAAAATGGACTTGGGAATTAAGAAGCAAAGCCGAGACAAGCCTGTTCCTCCAATGACAGTGCTTATTGAGTAGCTCGCTTTTAAGATGATTTGATAGTCTTCTGCCATCTGGTGGACACTAACAGAAGTGTCACTAGATAGAGTAACGATGACGAAGTCTAGACCTAAATTAGAATACATTTTCTTATTCTGAATTCATGTTTTTGACAATGAAAGAATTGCCTCTTGTTCCCAAAGGAAAACCTTATTTTAAATTCTCAATAAACAAAAATAACATCATAGTTTTTACAGTGAAAGCCTCTCTCTAATTCATATAAAGTTGTAGATGCATTTCTTTATGTAAAGTATATATAGTTATATTTTTCTGAATCATTCATATACCATTGCTAGCACAGCATAAATGTGCTCAAATTGCTAATACTAAATACTGTATGTAAAATTTGTTTCAATTTATGAGACCAGTTGTTAGTTTTGGGTGCCCTCCTGTGTTCATGAGATAAACTGCAGACTACTATAGACAAAAGGCTTTTTGGTCACATTCTGATGCTGTTAAGCCATATTTGCATAGAGTCCTTGAAATACTTTTTGTAGCAGTGACGATTGATTCCCCTGAGTCAACTGTATGTTCTCAGCCAGTGGCTTTGTAACTTCAAGTGTCCCCTGAAAGCAAAGCCTGGCTTCTGTGAGCATGTTAATTAATCTTTAGCCTTAGAGACCTTTCTCTTGCCCTCTTTTGCAAATCTATCTGACCTATGAAGAAATTGTACTTATTACTTTGCTTCATTAGCACAATATCATATAATTTTATAATTTTTATTCTCGCAATTAGTCCAAACTATCTCATTATGAATGTATCTCAGAAAGTATCATAGGACTCTTTCTGATGGGAGTAAATTTTTGGCATGATTCCCAGCATGGGCTTGAATTCGTTTGAAGATGTCCCTGAAGTATTTTCAAGGATTTTTTCAGATGAGACAAACAGATCTTCTAATTCCCTGAAATTAATTGCTTAGTCTATTTAAGATGCCAAAGTGGGATTTTTTTGTCAGCAGGTCTGAAAAATACTGAGATAGACTGTCTTCTGTAATTGAATTCTCCTCGTCCTGAGCTAAACATGTTTTTCAGGTACCAAACAAGAGAAATAAAAACACCGTAAATTTGAAGATATCTTTTGTTCTTTATTTCTAAAAATGAATTCGTATGCCAGATATATTCAAGACAATGTTCTGGGCAATATGGAAATAAAAAGCTGTAGTCCTTATGTTTGTAATCTACTAGAGAAGTTAAGACTCGTTCAGAAAAAAATAATACAAGAACATGCAATTAATGCATTAATAGTGATAAAACAAGACAGGCAAGTGAAACTGACGCTGATCGCTTCAGCAGAGATCACAGCGTGTGTAACAGAGGAGACAGCATTTGACCAAGACCTTTCCTGAATTGGGAAGGTAGGACTTGAACAGATAGAGACAGGAGGGAAGGAAGAAGTATTTCAGATACAGGCAATGGCATAAACAAAAGCTCCCCAGTGGGAAAATGTAACTTTTTATCTTCTATTGAAATAAAATACAACAAAAATTTTCATAGAATAAGTTTTACTTGTTAAAATCCTCGAGGCTGACAGTTGTATTAATAACAGTACTTTTTTTTTCCTCTCTGAAGTTTGTAGTTCAGAACCAGAAAACGTTCAAGCTGACCCAGAGAATTATACCAGCCTTCTTGTCACATGGGAGAGGCCTCGAGTAGTTTATGATACCATGATTGAGAAGTTTGCGGTTCTGTATCAGCAGTTAGAGGGGGAAGACCAAACCAAGCGTGAATTTTTGACAGATGGCTATCAAGACTTGGTAACTATGAGATCGATTGTTTCATGTATTGATAAGATTGTAGATTAATTTTCAAGGTAAGAATTCACACGATTGTGTATTGTTAGACTTTGCGTGAAGCCCTCCAGTGGAGAGGAAGGGAAGCAGAAACCATACTATGCTAAACTTACAGGGAATTACACTAGTTTCTTATTTGTGTTTTGGATTCCAGGGAGACCATGACTTTGCCACGCAGCATGTAGAGCAGACGCTTAGAGGAGACGTAGGAACTGGAGATCATCCAGTGTAGCCTCTCCTTGTAAAGGGACTCAAAGAACAGTTAAACACCTTGACTGTGAGCTTACAGTTATGGAAAGCATTGGGCCTGGAATCTCAGTGCTCAAATACTGTCATGCATTGTTTCCCCCATGATACTATACCAGCTCAAGAAAAATAGAGTAGGGGACTTGAAAGTGTTTTCTTTGCCTCAAATTTCCAAGTAACAGATGTGAAATCAATTGAGTCAGAACTTTCGGGACATGAAGCAGGTAATCCTTAGGAAAGAATCCACTCTCTTCCTCCCCACCCATACACGTGAATTAAAGAAAATAAAGTACGGATTCCTTCTGTGACATGAGCATCTCATTATTAAACTTTGCCTTGGTAGAGAAGTGTTGGCCATAGATTGGGTGAAGTTGAGAAAACTCCGTGTGAGTGTGGCTTAATGAAGACCCCACTGCAGGTCAAAGACACTGAACTCTGCACTCAGACAGCTGGAGGCCTACAAGCCCTAGGAACCTGCATTTAAACAAAAACTGTCCTTGTTATCATGGTGTTGAATATCATCTGGGCAAAAGAGAGAAAATTCTTAGCAACTTTTTAATTCACTTGTCTAGAACAGAGACTCTGTGAACTGGGAAAGTTGTGGAATTTATGAGAATATACTATTTTTCATTTCATAATGATGTGAAGATGATAATTCTATTACTATCTGGCTTATATATTGTTAAGATAAAGAGATACATTGGTTTCTCATTGTGTTTTTCACATTTTGCTCCTTGCAAATGCCATATGTTTGTCTAAAATATAAATTTGCAGTTTGGAGAACTCATTTATGAATTTGATGAATTGAAGTTAAAAGTGAAACTTTCTAAAACTAAATCTAGTGTTTTTTATGTTTTTTCATCTTTTTTGTTTTTTTTGGTGACGAAGATTGGCCCTGAGCTAACATCTGTGGCAGTCTTCCTCCATTTTGTATGTGGGATGCCACCACAGCATGGCTTGATGAGTGGTGTACAGGTCTGCACCCAGGATCAGGGCCTGCGAACCCCAGGCTTCTGAAGTGGAGCATGTGAACTCAACCACTATGCCACTGGACCAGCCCCTAAATCTGATTTTTTGAAAGCCAATCCTATGTGTTTAATTGTCCAAAATATTAATTTTCAGTTTTGAGTACTCATTTATGAATTTGATGAATTCAAGTTAAAAATTAAACTTTCTAAAACTGAGCAAATAAATGTCTAGTTTTTCAGTATCTTCCAAATTTACAAATATCATAAGTTCAACTTAACAGCGTCTCATAAACAACTTCTTAGGTTAATAAAATATAAATGTTTTCATTGACAAATGAGAAAAAGCTTTCTGAGGACAGATATCTGGTATGTTAGTACTCCTATGAGAATAACACGTTTGTATAATGTCTTTCTTTTAGGGTGCTATTCTCAATAATTTACTACCCAATATGAGTTATGTTCTTCAAATAGTCGCCATATGCACTAATGGCTTATATGGAAAATACAGCGACCAGCTGATTGTTGACATGCCTTCCGATGACCCTGGTAAGTGCTCCCCTGATATGGCTTTGTATTACTAAATAAAATGAGGCTAGTTTAATTACTAGATGCATTGGTGCTATCACTCTGACTTTATGTTCTATTGGCTAAAAGGCAAAATCATTTTGTTTTTAGCTTGGATCATCAGGTAATCTTGTGATGCATGGAACCCATTTTTCATTCAGCCGATCTGGTGCAGGACAATAAGTAACTTTATTCTTAATATTGAAGTTTTCTATTTGTAAAATCAGAATGGTAAAACCTATTGTCATGTCTGTAATGGTCATCAAATGAAAATAGCTATCTAAATGTTAAGACTTTTATTTTGGATAATGGAGAGTTGGTTTCATTTGTGTTTATTTCTTTTTTCAGCCCCAAAAGCATTTTGTAGTAAGTATATCCATGATCCTAGAATCATGAGAGGTGCTTAGAAATAACTATACAAAGCATCTCAACAGTTTATCTTAGATATTTTTATCCACTTTTTATGATTTGGTGATGGGGCGGGGGAGTGCTTTCCTCTTACTTGATTTGCCAGTACTGTTTCACAAAAGTAAAACAAAAAAGTTATTTCTAACTGTATTTTATTTGCATGCATCTTCTCTAAGTATTATGGGAAAATCTTTTGATCTCAAAGCATATGCAATAATTGAATGAAATGTTGACCATCATTATTTAACAATTTGCAAATTTATATAATTAAAATCTTCCTTTTGTTGGTAAAAGCAATTTTAAGGTAATAGAATGGATTATATATGTATTTATTTGTATATGTATATATATACACACACACACCATGCATATACATACTCATAAATATATGCAAACATACATACATAAATGTAAATATTCTTTGGTCATCCCTGTCATTAAGCTACTCACTGAAGTTTTTACAAGTTTTTAATGGAAACGAATGATTACAAAGTATATTAATTATAGCATATTCCAGTTTTACTTATGGAAGGAAAACTGAGGTGCATTGATTTGCCTTTGTGGTCTGTGTGCCCTAGGAAGGACTTTAATCTGCTATGAGCTTGTTCACTGATTACCTCATCCTAGTTTTTCTCACTAGTTGAATTTTTAAGTTAAAGAATATATGTCAGAGCATTAACTGTTACATTGTGTATCCTTCCAAACCACAGGGTACAAAACTTGCTAAGATATTTCTCAAGTTAAAACATTGATGACTGATGAATATGACTACTATCATGATGGCAATATCATTATTTAATAATTTTTCTTATGACCTGCCTCATGGCCTAGGTATAACCATCTTTCCTATTGCTTTTATTTAGCATTGTTTTTCAAAATCAGGTTATTTTTAAATGGAATGTGAGCTCTAAGTCTTATTGGAAGGTGAGTATCAAATTAACTGAACATAGTTTCAACTATACCATATCATGCTCCTCCATTGAATGTCATCTTTCACCAAAGTTCCCCATATTGATTCACCAGGAAATGACATCTTTACCAGTGCAACATTGACCATGTTGGCCAACCTCATAAGTGAATCGATGAAATATGGCATGTAATAATCTCCTCTGATCCCATTGTGTATTTTAGGATAGGAATTATATTGAATACATTCACTTAATTTTACTATCTTGGTTTAATTATGCCAACCTAATTTCTGTACATAAAACTATTTCCCAGGAGTTTGCAAACAATAATTACTTTTAGCTATTTATGTTGTGCTTTTTTTACTCTATCCACTATGCCAAAATTTTAAACCTTCTGAATTTGTTTTTGCGAAGCTTATTGCATATAGAAAAACAGATCAAATGTCTATTTTCTGCAGAAGTGATTTCTGAGTGATCCTTTTAGACTGAATCTATATTGGCACAAAGTACAACATTCTTGTATCACTTGTTGCACTTTCACATTTGTACAAAATAATAAATATTATAACTTAATTTCTATTTATTCAAAGGATCAGGACACTGTTGAACTAATGAGAGGCTAGTTTGGAAGCACCATTTAATCGCCATGGATGTCTCAGTCCTTTAAAGCATTTTGTACAGTAATGATGTTTTAGTAAAATATGGTATTTGATTTGATGTTTCACTCTAATATTTCTCTTAAAAGGCAAGGGTTAACAACTTAGATAGAGTATTCCTTAATTATTCCTACCAAAAGTTCTTCATCAAAAGCCAATTTCCCCAAAGTTTGGGGTCTTCCTATTTTTTGTAAAGAAAATATTAGTTCTCTTAGAACTCATTCTTTCTGATCTGAAAGGCTGTAATGGCATTTCAATCCGTATATTTTCAACTCATTATTGAAATTACATTATCTTAAATATTGTTCCTGTGAGAGATATATATATGTTACAGTGAAAGTCTTGACAGCAGTGCTGTCTTGTGGTTTAGCATGATGGTGCCTATGAGATTTGTGAATTTTACGATTTATGTGGTTAATATAAATATAAGTGGCTATGGAGTTTGCTGCTCATTTCATAGTTTTTATTAGTACCATTTCATCCTGTCAATCATGTTGTTTCATGACCTTAGTAATGTTATTATTTTGGGTCAGCTGTTTTCTAAATACTGCATTGTTTATTGCTTTTGTTAAAAAGAAATGAAGGAGGTAATTGTAATTGCCCTCATTCTTTCAGTCATAGATTTCAATTATTCTAATCAATATTTGTGAAGAAAAAACTCAATCTTCCAAATTGTGTATTTAACTTTGGCTGATTTAATGCTTGTGCATTTTAATTATACTTGTTGTGTGCAATACCATAAACCACTGTCCATTAAATCTAATTATAAATTGCTATTTTAAAATCAATGCATAAATTCATATTCAGAAACAATTTAAATTTGTCAAGGAAACCTTTTTAATGTTAAACAGAAATGTATATTCTTTTAAAATACTTTGTAGAAAATATTTATGAATAAATAATTCATAAATATATTTATTTCATTGTAACTAAAATAATTGTGTTCATTTCTCTTCTATAATATAGAGCTAATTATTATACAGTTATAGAGGACATTATTAAGTACAAGTTCTAGGTTCATGATAATTTTATGTGTTAAGTTTAAATGCCTGGTGAACTAGATCAACACATTTTCCTGTTATTGTGTGCTTTTCAGTTGTGTAACATTTGTGTTTGTTAAATCACTGTACATCTGTCCTTACTCTGCCTGCACCATCCTGTACTGTGGGTGTTGTTATATGATGATATTCAAAATCACAGTTTGAAGAGTCTTCACTCTGCATTGCTTCTACCTTTAGCACTGTGGAATTTGGCTTACCTTCTAACAATTAAATAAGCCTTGCTTGCCAACCTACATCAGTGTTGCCTTTTTGTGTTATGGAATATTAATGTGTTACTAACATGCTCTTTTAGAAAATCTAACATTACATGTGCCCCAAAACAAAACCAGGATGAGCCAATACCTTTTATTCAGTTATCATACAAATATGAATTTTAAGTGCTCACTCAAAAAAAGGATATTCACAGTCTTCACTATCCGTCTTTTTGTAACCTTCATAGAGTCTGTTTTGATGAACTGTAAAGATTCCGTAAACCAGTATAATGTTTGAACTATTTCATTATATCAGCCTGAGTCAGACGAGTAGCTACTAAAACATCAGTTGTTTGTGAGGAAACAGCAGCCCGAAGGGTACCCAATTGTGAGACCTTATGCCAATCACCAGAGCTAGACCTTAGGTGCTGTGAACTCTCAGACCCAAAAGTATGCTTCAGAATCTCCAGGAAGATAGAAACAATCTTCCACAAATATTTTATTTCAAAATTGTTCCCAAGAAGCTCAGCAAAAGATTTCTAGATTGTTTGGCGGGGGATGGGGCCGAAGTGTTTCTGGGCAACCCCAGAATTTCAGTCAATTCAAATGATCTGAGTCTAATAGGAAACCAGAAGGAAGATCATTCCAAATGGGTTTATATTTACCAATATGAAGACACCCACACTTGGGGTCTTCACCCATGAGAGTGCCATGAAACCGAAAGGGTCTCCAAGGGCTGCTTGGGCCCGTACGTTCTGCTCCTAGGGCCTAAAGGGAGCTCAAAGAAAACTTCTTACTTCCTATTGCAGTAAACAGCAAAGCCAGTTATAGCAGAACTCGCCAATACTCCTCAGGGGATATGATTGGGTAAAATCATGTATTTTAACTTATTAGGAACCGTAATCCATGTAGTTAATTTATACTCTTGTAAAAGGATAAAAATAAATCAAATGCAATACACACAGAATATTGAAAGGAAAGGAAATCAGTCCTCAACGTGATAATTATATATACCCCATATCTACCATGACAATTAGTAAGAAAATTACTTTTGCCCATTAAAAATATGAAGTTAGGTGAAATTAGACCTTTTTTTTTTTTTAAAATTTAAAACACTTCCTGGGGCCGGTCCCATGGCCTAATGGTTAAGTTAGGCATGCTCTGCTTTGGCAGCCTGGGTTTGGTTCCTGGGTGGTACCTACACTACTTGTCAGCCGCCATGCTGAGGCAGCAACCCACATACAAAATAGGGGAAGACTGGCAGAAATGTTGGCTCAGGATGAATCTTCCTCAAGCGAAAAGAGGAAGATTGGCAACAGATGTTAGCACAGGACGAATCTTCCTCAGCAAAAAAAACCCACTTCCTTAAACATGTTAAAGAGAACAGACTATTGTTGAGATTTTTTTCCTTAGCCTCTTAACAGAGAAAAATCTATAGTATGATAGATATGTCACTTAGAAATATTTGATTATGCTTTGCCGTTATTAACATTAAATTATTTCAGAAGTACATGAAAAGGAGTGACTCCATTCAAAAGCATTTTTAGTAAACTTACATATTGTCTCATGCTGAATTTGAAGATTTTTACATACGTGAACTTCTCCAATTGTAGTTTTTAAAAGACCATATTGAAAGTTCTTATTTGCCTCTTAGTTTAGTGGCATCTCATTTTTAAATTCAGATATATTGGTTTCCATGAAGGCCGTAGAGATGCAATTGTTTCAGACTGTTGAATCACTTTAATTTGGAAACATAAAGAATAAAGAGCATGAAAAACAGGGTAGGAAAAGGGTTTCATAGAGACAAAAATAGAAAAAGGAGAACACTGACAATCCAAATAAAAGTTTCCAAACTCCTTCATGGTCAGTTTTAACAAGAAAAAAGTAATAATTGTGAGTTAAAATTTAGAACTGTGATTGTTCACAGTGAATATTTTCATTTTTATAGCGCGGAAAATTGTTCATGGTAAGTAACTTTGAAATAACTGAATAGTCAAGACTATTAATTTTATCTAAATCCTCTTGGGAGCTGGGCTCACTTCTAAATTTTACTTGAATTCTCTTCTAAATAGAATTCATGCATATAACTGTATTTTATGGTTTTACTTTTCTTAATACCTAGAAATTTTCTGATAAAAGTAAATTCAAGAAAGTCTACATTATAAAGCAGGCCTGGGTTCGATAAACATTTAATGTTAGTTCAGTTATGCCTTTGAAAATTCTTTAGAATTTCATTATCTATAGATAATGAAAAAAATTAATTCCATAGAATGCATTCCTTTGAGGATATATAGAGACATAAAACGTAGAATATAAGCTGCACTGGGATAGTGAAGAGCGTAAACTTTGGAGATGGAGTGCAATTCTATAAAATAATAGGACTAAGAGGAGCATCATTGTAATAATGCTCAAGCCCTCACAGTTGCCCTGTCTCCCATCTTCCTGATGACCTAGGCGGCGCAGATGAGGAGTAAGGAAAAATGCTCCTCTGGCCCCTCGGTAATCTGGCAGTGGGGCTAGATTTCTTGTTAGAGAGAACCAGCTCCTAATCTCTCCTAACATGTAGTGACAGACCCTGTTTGAGGATTGAGATATCCATATCCTAGAAATATACTGATTCTGGTCAGTTGGGAAGAGTAGACTGGAATGCTTCTAGTTGTTGCATTTTTTGCATAGACAGCGTTAGCTGAGCTTCCCAGGGGAATCCCTCTGATCCGTTCTTCCCGCTGTCAGCCCAGGCTGGACCTGCTGGAAAACACTCTGCATTTTACCTGGTGCAGGACCTTGCATACAAATAGGTAGGAGCCCATATCCAAAGAATAAAAAGAGTTATTTGACGCTCAGTCAGAAGAGGAACTTAAGGAATAAGTAGCTGAGTAAGAAAATAAATCCTGTCAATTCTCCGCCAAATCTCTGGCATTTCCCTCACTGTGCTTTTGTCAGCCCTGCTAAGGATGAAAGTAAGTCTGCACTGATGAAAAATTATTGAGGTTTCTTTATACTCAGTTATGTCAGCCTCAGGGTCCTCCTCTCCCTTCTTAGCTTCAGTCAGTTGGCGCGGGAATGGGGAGGGAGTCAGAGTGGAGGGTGGAGATGAAGATTTTGCATGCAGTTTCCGACTGGTTCACGCAGTGCTGTTCTGTAGGTTTAGCAATGTTGAAGACTAAAATCTGAAATTTTTATTTTGAGAGATTCTGTATTTTCAAAGCTGACAGTCTTTTTCCCCCCTTCTTTCCATCCAAAGGTAAACCCACAAGGCTAAAGTAGTTGAATAAAAATTTTAATAATTTTGTTTTTAACTTTCTAGAACTTGACCTCTTTCCTGAATTAATTGGAGCTGAAGAAATAATCAAGGTATCGTAGCAATTTTTTATATTCAAATGTTTTAAAATTAAAATGTCTGTTTTTAGTTATTGGTTAGGCTTCAGATGTTGCATTAAGAAAAGTTCGTGCTGCATTATTCATTGTAGGCTTAGTTGCTGAGCTTTAAAGATTTATATAATTTAGATTATAGATTTGTATAATTGATATACATGATTCTTTTAGGAAGAAGGTCGAAGGCACTTTGATTAGTATAATAAGAATAAGAGAGAGAGAGAAAAGGTTTGGTGATAATGAAAAAAATGAACTTTAAAAATAATTATAGCAATGAACTATAAATCGGAGTATTTTTAGTATTCAGATTTTTCTAAAAAACTAAAATACTTAACCAATTCTTATTGCTAGTTTATTTATAACTTAACCAGTAATTGATGGGTTAAGAATAAATATGAGCCAAAATATAAATTGTACATATTTTTTGCCCACTTAATTTGAATATTTGTGTTTGGACTATTCATATTATAAGTGTCAGCTGCTAGCATGCCTTTTAAGTAAATGGGTATTTAAGAATATTTGTAAATTTTAACATTGTCTTTTTTTAAAAGAGAGAGAAAATGACTGGTGTGTCTTATATTTCATCCTAAGACTAAATGTACTATTCATCTTAACTGAGAGTATATGTTAAATCTAGGCGCTATTGTTAATGTAGTATGAACATGTGCATATGTACATATGTGTGTATGATCTCATAGAATGTGATAACTAATGCTAATATCTAGCAATAAATAGCAATTAGGTTGTGTTTTCACATGTCTGGTTACTTTAATAACTTATATATCTTATTGCAATTCTCTCTTACAAAGAATTATTTTACCAAAATGATCAGTCCACCTTTCAACAAGAGTTCACAGAATTCAGCTAAGGATATCTTTGTGTGTGTATGTGCACATGCACACACATGTGCACGTGCATGTGGATATGTATATGCTTAGAAATGATCACCAGAATCAAGTCAAAGGCAGGAAAAAAAGAGTTATTTTTACACTGTAAATTCAAATCATTGGTTTGAATGGTGTCTTAGTTCGGGCCGCTATAACAAAATGTCATAAACTGGGTGACTTATAGACAACAGAAATTTATTTCTGACGGTCCTGGAGGCTGGGAGTCTGAGATCAGGGTGCCAGCATGGTCTGTTCTGGTGAGGGCCTTCTTCCGGGTTGCAGACTGCAGCTTCTCTTTGTATCCCCACATGGCAGAGAGCAGAGCAGATGCAAGCTCTCTCGTGGCTCTTATTTTATGGACACTATCCCATTCGTCTAATCCTCCACCTCATCTACTCCTAATTACCTCCCAAAGGCCCCACCTCCTTACACCATCACATTGTAGAGTGGGACTTCACCATATGAATTTGAGGAGGACACAGACACTCAGTCCATAACACTATTCCTTTCCACTGATTCACGCAGGAAAGAATGGTGGAAGTTAACAAATACCTGGAATGTATGTGTAATCGTTTTGAAGCCTGAATAAGGAAATGAATAGTTGGGAGAATGTTTCTCAGCTCTTCTTCAAGTAGAATGCATTGCTTTGAAAGACAGAGTATCTCCAGCATATTCAAGGCTTTTCAATAAAATTTTTAAAATAGAAGCTGTGAAGAATAACAGGTGGGACACAGATCAAAACCACAGTGGAAGAGAGAGTCACAGTAACTCCACAGAAAATTATAGGAAAGAGTATCCATTAAAATATTTGCGGTTTCAGATATGTGTAAAGTAATCATAGACCATGAATGATATATTCTTCTTGAAATGCTGACATGAGGCAATATGACCTCATAGAGATCTACAGGATTTTGTTGGGTAGGATTGGTGAATGACCCCTCACATTCATCAGATTCTGAGAGGTGTCTGAACCTCATAAAGTCTAAAATCTACTGGAAAAGAAAGAAATAGAAGGGATATGTGTGTTTATGTGTGTATAGTTTTTTTCCCCAAATGATCTAACAGAAGAAAAGGTTAGTGGTGTTATGTTTTAAGAAAAATTTTATAGAAATCTACATAGCTTATGGTAGGAGGATGATGAAGTGTGTTTGTGTGGGAATATAAGCAAAGAGAAAGAGAAGCAATATTTGGATTTGATATAAATTGTTAGATCATATAGAGAATATAGCTGACATGTCTTGTGGGAACTTTACTGCGAAGGGGAGGAGAGAGGTAGAATGAGAAATGGAAGTTGAATCAGAAATTTTCCTGTGGGTGTTCCTTTTAGATAGGAGAGATCTGAGTTCATTTAAGCCGATGAGAATGTTCCATTTGAGAAAACAAATTTGAAAACACAGAATAGAGGGAAAGTCTCAATTGTATTCAGTTCTCGAGAAGATGATAGATAAGGGATTTAAAACACATGTAGAAATTAGGAAGGAAGGGGACCAACTTTTCAGTTAGAACAGGATGAGGGGCAGGGGTGGATTTGGTTGGTCCCTATTTTTGATGTTTTAATGTTAGAAAAGAGTGGTTTTTTGTCAAATGGCTTCTGTTTTCTCTGTAAATGGGGAGACCATCTGCTGAGAATGACGGGAGAGGATAGGAAAATGGAGTTTTGGATGGAGCAGGAAAAAAGTTTGAAAGAGCCTTGGTAGAGGGTAAGCATATGGAGTGATATCAGAAAAAGCAAATATTCATTCACATTTGCAAAAATGCAGAAGAGTTCAGAAACTCCATATTGCTAAGCTTAACACTGGTCCTCAGCGGAACTCATCAGATTATAAAACAAATGTTTGTGAGAACTTCTAAGGAAAGAGGTTATATCTGGCACCAACAAATTTTCACCAAGAGCAAGTCAGTGCAAGCTATTCTTGTTTTCTTTCGTGTGAAGTTTTTGGGCTTGTAAATTAGGAGAATATTTTATTCAAGAAATTATTTGGCAGAATCTCTTGGATTGTCCTTGTGAACAAGGTATCAAGCAGAATGCAAAATTTCATGAAGAAATTCTGACCACTAGTGAGGAAATTTGTCTAGGGAATCTAAGAGAATATCCATTTTTAACGTCAATACAATCCAGATCATTAAAGCTAACTTATTTCTCAGGGTTGTTACATATGCCTCAAGAAATACTTAAAACCAACCAAATAATTAACCTCTGGGTAATGAGGCGGTCATTAAGCTTGAAAGCTTGTGTTTCATACAATGCAGCTTTTCATGTATGTGAGACACATAGCCCTGAGTACACATAGTTTAAAATTCAGGTTCTTTCTGCTATATTGGTCAGGTTCCACGGACCAATTGGTACTCAGTCACCTTTTCTTCTTTTAAGGGATGTGGCCTTAAAAGATGTAATAAATGACAATGCTAACAAACTGACAAAATCATGACTCGTGTGGACTAAAAATGTCATATCTTGATACCTTTGGCAATTTAGCTTTCTAAACATATGATTGGACATATTATAAAATGCACAGTTAAAAAAAAAAACAGAAAGCATGGGTCTTAGTTGACCTCTAGCCAGAGAGCTCCTGGAAAACGCTACAGTGACTAAGTGTTTGTGAGAGACTGGGTCATCTGAATGGTGTTTCTCAGAGAAAAACAAAATTAAATAACTAGTACTAGAAGTATATTTTTGACAAGTTGTCTTTAAAATGTCTGCCTAAGACTTAAGTGCAACGTATTTAAAACAAAATGGAAAACAAAAACAAAGTCTCTTCCTGTTCTAAATCTTCCTCTTATGATGGCTTGAAATCCTCTTGATTTATTCTGAATATATACAGTGAAATATTCTGAATATACAACTTCTTTGGTCTTTGAAATAAATCGTTTCATTGCCATTCCATATTACAAGAAGCTAATTGCTATGTAACTTGCTGCCAGATGAACTAAACAGAAACAGAAAAACAAGAAAATAAATAGCATGCTAAATACCACTCTCAATATATAAATACAACCACAATATATCTTCCTTTCAAAGCTGCAGTATCTATTAATTTAATTGCTTTCTTCCATGGCATTAAAATAAAGGCAGCCATAAATAGGATGTTTTCGTTAAGTTTATTTACTCTCCCTAGAGGGTGAATGATCAAGGTTATAGGATAGAGGCCTGGCTTCTATGGGATGGTGCTTTATGAGAAGAAATTCCCAAGATCCCACATGTGAAGATTAACAGTATAATGCAGTATATAAGATATTATTGACTTTGTTTTTCTCTTATTTCCTTATGTTCCATTAAATCTTGTTTGCTTTTCAAAGGAGGAAGAAGAGGGAAAAGGCATTGAAGAAGGCACTATTGTGAATCCTGGTAGAGACAGTGCCACAAACCAAATAAGGAGAAAGGAACCCCAGATTCCTACCACAACAAACTACAATCGCGTAGGGACCAAATACAATGAGGCCAAGACTAACCGATCCCCAACAGGAGGAAGCGAATTTTCTGGAAAGGGTGATATTTCCAACACATCTTTAGATCCCACTTCCCAACCAGTCATGGAACTAGCCCCAGGAAAAGACGTTTCTTTGACTTCACAGACTGTGACCGAACCACCACCTCACACTCTGGAAGGCACGTCAGTCTCTTTAAATGACGGCTTTAAAACTGTTCTCAGATTTCCACAGATGAACTTATCTGGGACTGTGGAATCTTTAAAAACAGTTTCTATAACGGAATCTCAAGAGGTGTCTACTGATATCAGTGAGGAAGAGAGTTTATTGACCGATTTCAAGCTCGATAGGGGAGCTGATGATTCTTCAGGCTCCAGTCCTGCAACTTCCGCTATGCCATTTGTCTCTGAGAACATATCCCGCGGGTATGTGTTTTCTTCAGAAAACCCAGAGGCAATCACGTATGATGTTATTATACCAGAATCTCCGAGAAATGCTTCAGAAGATTCAGCCTCCTCAGGTTTGGAAGAATCTCTAAAGGATCCTTCCGTTGATGGAAATGTGTGGTTTCCTAGCACTACAGATATGACAACACAGCCTGATGTTGGATCAGGTAGAGAGAGCTTTCTCCAGACAAATTACACCGGAACACGTATTGATGAAGCTGAGAAGACAACTGAGTCCTCCTCTCCAGACCCACTGGTGTCACAGGGTCCCTCAGCCACAGAGATGGAAATGCCACATTATTCTACCTTTGCCTACTTCCCAACGGAGGTAACACCTCATGCTTTTACTCCATCCTCCGGACAACACGATTCGGTCCCCACTGTCAAGGTGGTACACTCGCAGACAACTCAACCAGTATACAATGGTGAGACACCTCTTCAACCTTCCTACAGTAGTGAAGTCTTTCCTCTAGTCACCCCTTTGTTGCTTGACAATGAGATCCTCAACACTACCCCTGCTGCTTCAAGTAGTGATTCGGCCTTGCATGCTACGCCTGTATTTCCCAGTGTTGATGTGTCATTTGAATCCATCCTGTCTTCCTATGATGGTGCACCTTTGCTCCCATTTTCCTCTGCTTCCTTCAGTAGTGAATTGTCTCGCCATCTGTATACAGTTTCTCAAATCCTTCCACAAGTTACTTCAGCTATTGAGAGTGATAAGGTCTCCCTGCATGCTTCTCTGCCAGTGGCTGGGGGTGATTTGCTATTAGAACCCAGCCTTGCTCAGTATTCTGACGTGGTGTCACATCAGATCACTACTCATGCCGCTTCAGAGACATTGGAATTTGGTGGTAGTGAATCTGGTGTCCTTTATAAAACGCTTATGTTTTCTCAAGTTGAACCATCCAGCAGTGATGTCATGATGCATGCACGTTCTTCAGGGCCCGAACCTTCTTATGCTTTATCTAATAATGAGGTCTCCCAACACCTCTTCACTGTTTCTCACAGTTCTGCAATACCTGTGCATGATTCTGTTGGTGTATCTCATCAGGGTTCCTTATTTAGCAGTCCTAGCCACATACCGATGCCTAAGTCTTCGTTAATAACCCCAACCGCATCCTTGCTGCAGCCTACTCATGGCCTCTCTGGTGATGGGGAGTGGTCTGGAGTCTCCTCTGATAGTGAATTTCTTTTACCTGACACAGATGGTCTGACAGCCCTTAACTTTTCTTCACCTGTTTCTGTAGCTGAATTTACATATACAACATCTGTGTTTGGTGATGATAATAAGCCGCTTTCTAAAAGTGACATAATATATGGAAATGAGACTGAACTGCAAATTTCTTCTTTCAGTGAGATGGTTTACCATTCTGAAAGCACAGTCGTGCCTGACCTGTATGAAAGTGTAAATAAGTTGAATTCATCTTTACAAGAATCCCCTGTTTCCAGTTCTAGCATAAGGGGCATACTTCCAGGGTCTCTTGCTTATACGGCCACTAAGGGTTTTGATCATGAGATTAGTCAAGTTCCAGAAAATAACTTTTCAGTTCAACCTACACATGTATCTCAAGCAGTTGGTGACACTTTGCTTAAACCTGTGCTTAGTGCAAACTCAGAACCAGCATCCTCTGACCCTGCTTCTAGTGAAATGTTCTCTCCTTCAACGCAGCTCTTATTTTATGAGCCCTCAGCTTCTTTTAATACTGAAGTATTGCTGCCACCTTCCTTTCAGGCTTCTGATGTTGACACATTGCTTAAAACTGCTCTTCCAGCTGTGCCTAGCGATCCAATATTGGTTGAAACCCCCAAGGTTGATCAAATTAGTTCTACAATATTGCATCTCATGGCATCAAATTCTGCTTCAAGTGAAAACACGCTGCACTCTACATCTGTACCAGTTTTTGATGTATCACCTACTTCTAATATGCACGCTGCTTCACTTCAAGGCTTAACCATTTCTTATGCAAGTGAGAAATATTTTGAACCAGTTTTGCTTAAAAGCGAAAGTTCTCAGCAAGTGGTACCTTCATTGTACAGTGATGATGAGATGTTCCAAACTGCCGATTTGGAGATTAACCATGCCTTTCCCCCAAAAGGAAGGCATGCTTTTGCTACTCCTGTTTTATCGATTGATGTACCATCAAATACACTTATTAATAAGCTTATATATTCTGATGAACTTTTCACCTCCACCAAGGGTTCTATCACTGATGAGGTATTTGCTGGTATTCCAACAGTTGTTTCTGATACACTTGTAACTGCTGATCGTTCTGTTCCTTTAGGAAATGTATATGTTTCCATTACAGCTGTTTCTCCCAACAGAGGTGATTCTGTAACCACAACCAAGTTGCTGTTTCCTTCTAAAACAACTTCTGAGCTGATTCAAAGTGCCAGATCTGATGCTGATTTAGTGGGTGGTGGTGACGATGGTGATATTGATGATTATGATGATGATGATTATGTTGACAGAGCTAGAGATGGCTTATCCATAAATAAGTGTATGTCATGCTCCTCCTATAGAGAACCACAGGAAAAGGTAATAAATGATTCAGACACACAGGGAAACAGTCTTGTGGATCAGAATAACCCAATCTCTTATTCACTCTCTGAGAATTCTGAAGAAGAAAATAAAGTCACAGATGTAATATCAGCCAGTCAAACTGATATGGACAGAAGTCCTAGTAAATCACCACCAACAAATGCCCTACCCCAAAAGCGCAAATATGGAAAACAGGAAAATGACGTTGAGACTGGTAATGCCCTGCTTCCTTTCACCCCGGAATCTAAAGCATGGGCAGTGCTTACAAGTGATGAAGAGAGTGGATCAGGGCAAGGTGCCTCAGATAGCTTTAATGATAATGAGACTTCCACAGATTTCACTTTTCCAGATGCTAATGAAAGAGATGTTGATGGGGTACTGGAAGCAGGTGACTCAGAAATAAATCCTGGATCCCCACAGTCCTCAACACCGATTCTTACTAGCGGACACTCAGACGTGTTCAACATTTCAGAGGCAGGTTAGTTATGCATCCAAGGGATAGATTGAGCTGTGGTGGTCTCTTCCTCAAAAATTAGAAGAATGATGGAAAGAGAAATTTGGTAAAATGACACATCATTTTTTTTTGATCAAGACATTCAACAAATCAATTTTCAGTTTTTGAAGTATGATTTTATTCATTATTTCAAATGAATACTTGACGCATTTTGGTTCTTAATTCTCTACAAAATAGATAAAGTGATTTTTGCTTATTGTCAGTTTTTCTTATTCTACAAGATGCCTATTCCATGTGGGAGCAATTATGTGTGCATAATATAATTTTAGTATACTGTTTTTTAAATGATAGATTGGAGTGTGCTGTTTTTATATGGTTTTAATTTTTGTGTTTACTCATGTTCTAAAATAGGTTGTAAACTAATTCTATTGAATTATAAGCTCTGATAGTAATACGATATAAGCACCTCAATCTGACCCACCCCATGGAAAGGGATTAGGTAATTGTCACATCCACCTCAGCTTGGAGAGCTTTAAAAAATTCCTATTGTTAAGTTTTGAGAGTTAATGGTAAGATTTTTTTTTTTGTTTCTAATTTTTAAAAATTGTCTTTGTTTGATTAGCTTAACATTGCCTAAAGAGGGCAGTGTGAACTAACAAAATACATTTTACTTTGTACTTGGCTGTTATACACCTTTCTAAGAAGTTAAATAATGGGCATTAATATGCATAGTACGTATAGGTATTGTATGACAAGATGTAAAACACTAGAACATTTTCAGTAGAAATGCATTTCATTTGTTAACGTATTTTATGCAAATTAGCTTGTTGGCCAGATGTTCTTAGAGCAGATTATTTGCAGCATATATAATACAGATGTTTGCTTTAAATACCAATGGGGAAAAAAGGGAAATTCAATACCATTAAGCATATGAAATACTAGATAGTTTCATTGAAATCATAAGAATTTTATAATTTGCTTTTATTAAATTTTAAGGCATTTTTTAAGTTCACAATGAAAATATTTAAATCTCAGCAGTAGATCAGAAATAACGTCTTGCACTCTTGTTGCATAAAAGTGGTTACTTATAATCCAAAACATGCATACCAGTCTCATTAGGATAATTTTCCTCTTTGTTATTTCCATCCCCTGAATTAGTTGTATATTTTCTTTCAGTGTATCAGTAATTAAAAGTTCGTACATTTTGATAGAGAAGTTTTTCCACATTCTGACTTGATACCTATTTAACATTGCATTCCAGTTTAAACACTTAAACTCTGATATGTGAGAATGAGTAATGAATCCATAGGTCACTGCATTCATTAGTGTTGCTATATATATGAATTATCTGGCTTCAATTACAGTGCTTGTTTTTTAAATTTTTATTAGATTTATTTTAAAGGAAAATACCAGCAATCTATCCATTTTCTATCTTACTAGGTAGTGACATTATCAATATGTTTTTGCTAGCTTATGCTGTAATGGAAAGACTATATATATTGTAAAATACCAAACCTAGAATTATTGACTAACACTTAGCAATTTCTCTTCAATGCACTAATTAAATTTATTTAATTATTAAGACTATGTTCTCCCACTGATGAGGAGAAAATAATCGGAATATAACATCCAACATCATCAAGTAACATAATTAATGAAGTTAATTAATGAAATAAGATCAAACAACATTAAGGAAAAATTCTTGCCTGTTTTTAAAACTATGTCTATAAAAAATCGTATGTAGTCTGTCTTATCCAATAATTGAATATGCTTCTTTATCAAATGCAATAAACTTATTCTGAAAATTATAATTTTACAATGTAGTCCTAGAATGTAGAATAATTTATAGGATGTAGTCCTCAAAATAATATAGATAAGGCAGTTATTAGTATCTGCAATTTATGAATGCATAAACCGAGATCTAAAGGTACTAGATGACATGATCCAGGTCACATAGGCAGTTAATGCAAAACTGAGACTGGAAATATGTCTTACTAGTGTCTGTCTCTTAGAGACTATGCTTTCATGGTTGAGGACAGTGAAACATATATAATGCCAAATTTGAAATACCAATATTATACCGTTTTATTCTCAAAAGTTATTTTAAAATATTAATCTTAGTTATTTATTTCCTAATAACCTATTAGTAGATTCTTGTCGTATCGTTTAGGTAACTCATATACACTACTGAGCCATATCAAAATAGACATTTTAGTCTCAACTAATAAATATAAAAATCAATACAATTAGTATTCCTTATCATAGAATAAAAAGCAACCAGTTGATTGTACTTTCATGTGGTATTCCATCTTGTATAAAATATCTAGGTTTCATAATATGTAATTACCATGGATTTATCATTCTAACTCCTCAATTAAAGATTTTATTTTAAAATCAGACCTCCCAGAGAACTTATGAGGAAATTCTATATACAAGACTCTGTGTGTGCACATGTATGGATAGTGTGTGTATATAGTGTGTTGTGATATATATGGTAATTTGCTACGTATTTTATGTTATATGTATTACATATATGTCACATATATGATCACACATATCTCATATATGTGTGTACATGCATATATATAAATAAGATATGTGTGTATCTATATATATACCTATATACATATTGCTGTGAATATTTGTGGTCATTGAAGACCTGTGTATTTATATAAGCTCATTTTGTATATAAATTAATGTACACCATTGTTTCTCAGATTTTAATGTGGATCAGAATCACCTGGAGGTCTTGGTAAAACACAGATTGCTGGGCCTTCCTCACAGAGTTTGTGATTCAGAAGATTTGGGGTGGTTGAGGTGGAGCCCAAAATTTTCATATTTGACAAGTTTCAGGTGATGCTCATGCGGCTATTCTGGGGACCACACTTCAGGAATGACTGATACAGATAATAGTGTTAACCTCCATTCATAAATTACTAGGTGCCAGGGACTTTGCTAAACAGATATTCCAGTTATTACCTACAGACTTTCCATTCAGGTAACAATGTTACAGTAGAAAAAAATGTGAAAACAATCGTGTATAAAACAAGATGTTTTCCTAAATTTTGTAAAGGAATTTTCAGTGCATTCTCTATCAAATTGTGTAGACTTCTAAGTGAGCCTCACCACAATACGTAATTACCAGAGCATATGATTAACATAATGGAAAGTGAAGCCTGAGCTCCTCTCACAAGAATATTAACTATAGCTCAGGGATCAGTTGATTTACAGCTTTGAATTCCACTTTTTTCTAGCAAATGCATCCATAATTAGAACAAGCATCTTGTGAAATTTGGGTGTCATTTATACTCCTTTGATACATTTCCTAGATGAGTGGATTAAATTCTTGCCCCTTTCTGCATCATGTCTCCTGACAGAAGGAAGCTATCATTTTAAATCTTAATTTCCCTGCAGTTAGATATATTTCAATGCTATGTTTATAAATTTGTTACTCTCAAATTTATTCTTAAATATTTTGAATTAAATTTATTCCCTTTGTCTTGTATCACTAATAGTAAGATACTTCATATAAAAGCACCAATGTGTCTGGTGTGAAGGGAGCAATGCAGACACTAATGGGAAAGTTAAATTTAATTCTCCCAGAAATTCTACAAGTAGACAGGATATGGCCTCTTACTTTGAGGCAGTGTTGGATATTGTGGTAAAACAGTTCTGATGTTCAATCATCATGGTTTTCCAATGCACACACCTCACAACAGAAGGGAAGGATTGTGACTGGCCACTGCACTGGTACCCTGATGTTCTGAAACTCTTTTTAACAACTTGGAAGGATAGTTCCTGTTGCAGTGATTTGCAAAGTGCTAGAACAATGATGTATCCATTTGGTCACACAAATAGTCATTGCCATCTCTTAAAATTAACCCAAGGACAGAATTTAGACTTTTTGTAATTTATACTTGCATATTTGGAAAGAATTTCTTAGATCTATGTATTCCTTTAATCCACATGCAATAGTATTTTTATTTTTGATAGAGTAAAACAGTTGATAAGAAGGGGATTTTAAAAAAACTTTTTAAAACCAACCTAAATTAAAATTTGAAATAGTTTGCTGGATTGAAGCTGTCCTAATGTAAGGGTTATCCTAAAATTCTCTCTTCATTAAATTACGAATTCCTCCTAATTATTTACCTAATTGCAGGATTAAAACTAATTCCATTAAAATTAATTTTGGAAAAATCAAGATTATATACAGTGATTCAGTAAGTGGCATTCTTTTTCCTGATTATTTTACTTAAAAGCTAGGTAGTTTTCTTACTGTAACATTTCCATTTTCCTTTTAACAAGCTTTTCAAGGCAGTATGATGCTCACTTTTTGCCATGGCACCCCTACCCGGCTGCCAGTCTCTGTGTGGATATTATCGTTCTTCAGCTCTGACAGCCTGCCTTACATTTTAAACTTTATTTTACTTAAATTGGCTTAAAATTATAGACAGTTTTTGCATCCTAGAGTTGAAATTTTAAAGGTAAGCAACAACAATGAAGGTTAAAATTATTCGGTTGAAAATTGTTGTGACTTTTCCTTAAGCTTAAATATCAACTCTCTCAATTCTTTCCGACTACAGAGGCCAGTAATAGTAGCCATGAATCTCGTATTGGTCTAGCTGAGGGGCTGGAATCCGAGAAGAAGGCGGTTGTACCCCTTGTGATCGTGTCAGCCCTGACTTTTATCTGTCTAGTGGTTCTTGTGGGTATTCTCATCTACTGGAGGTAAGTTGAGTGTTAATTTCGGAAATGTATTTCATAAAGCTCAGATTTTGCCCTTTTTTGATCTGAAAGTTCTTCAAAGCATTTTCAAAATTCCTTCCACTTGAGAGCTACCGTTAATTTATACAGGTAACTATAAAAAAGGGGAATTCGTGAATCCAAAGACATAATAATAAAAGATTTGATTGTTCTTCATACTTCAATCAAACAAAGGGAAAATGGAGGAGCTTTGGGTTGGGTTCAGTTAATATTTAACACAGTATTTTGACAGTTGTACTTTCATATTAATTTAATTAACATTCAAACATTATCATAGCATTTAACATAAATTTAGACTTCTCAGCTTAAATGCTCCAGCTATTATAATTTCAAAAGGTATTATTTAGGAAAACATAATTTTTGATAGAGTAAATGTTGGTTTTCTATAACATTGGATTTTGTACAAGATGTGTTATCAATTGCATACTAACAACAAAAAAAGTGATACATGAAGGTAAACATCAAGCAATTAAAATATGAATATAATTGGAAAATAAAGTTAATGACTATATTAAGATGCATGGGATTTTAAAATTCATTATAAGTGACCTTGAGGGTGAAGTATAACTTCACTCTCATCTATAATCTATTAAAACCTTTAAAGGAAGAGGAAAATCGCACTCATAAGCTTCACATCCTATAGCAAGCAGAACACACAGCAAATGAGGAAGTTTACTGGGGACACAGTGTAAATCAGTGTAACTGTTGTAACTACGTCTGTTGGAAAACAAGCTCTTTATGATGATATAAGGAGTCATATCTGTAAACTAAGAAAGGGCATAACTTAGCACTTATATTTTTGTTTTAGAAGAGAATTTTGTTCAGAAGATCTATAATTAATTCCTTTTTGCTTAGTAACATCTTTCTATGTGTTCATATCACTGTTCTTTATGTGTTATCCCAAAATATGTTCTCTCAGTTTGTTAAAGAGTAATTGCTGGAGCCACCCCGTGGCCTAGTGGTTAAGTTCAATGCACTCCACTTCAACAGCCCAGGTTTGTAGGTTTGGATCTCGGGTGCACACCTACACCACTCATCAGCCATCCTGTGGCAGTGACCCACATATAAAATGGAGGAAGACTGGCATAGATGTTAGGTCAGGGCTGATCTTCCTCAAGCGAAAAAAAAGAAGAATGGCAACAGATGTTAGCTCAGGGCTCATCTTCCTCAGCAAAAAATAAATAAATGAATAAATAATTACTGTGTTTATTCACAGTTTTCACTCTGTTAACTACTGTGGGAAAATATAAAACAAAGAATGAATGAACAAACAAGTGAATGAGAATCACTGCTTATTGAGAAGAAAGAATTTTCCGTGAAAAATTTATAAAATGTTACACAAGAGCAAATGTATGGCAGCTGAAATCTCTGATGCCAAAAGTGGTCAGAGAACAAAGGATCTTGATAGGCCAGAATGGACAGGGTAAACGTAAAATGTAGGGCTTGAGATGGATAGGATTCAGGAAGTGGAGATAAAGGAGAAGGGCCTTCCAGGCAGGGACACAGCTGGTGGGAGGACAGGGAAGCAGGAGTCAGCTGGGTGTGTCTGAGTCAGTGAGGCCTGGCACGTGGAGTTGCATGTGGTTGGACGTTGGTTGCCTAAGGTAGAATGTTTTCATGACCAACTGTGTTTCATATCTTACTTCCTTTATAGAACAGAGTAGACTGTGGAGTATGGAGAACAGATCATGCTTTTGTTATCCTACATGAGTTAGGAGATTTTTTTGTCCAGAACATGATGAAAACAAAGCTGCTTTCTTAACTAATACTTATAATTGCCAATGACTCTTGTTACAGAAGATTCCAGGCTCAGCAGAGTACTGTGAATACAGTACATACTCCATAAATGTTTGCTCAATAAGAATTCATATAGCTTTTCTCCCTGTTCCCCAGTGGGCTTGTTGGACAAACTTCTTACCAACATTGATATCATGTTTGTTCAGATTACTGGTTTATATCTAATCAGATTTTCCCTGCCAACCCAGTTTTTTGAAGCTACTTGGAATTGAGGTTAAACAAATTTAAAATAATATGGAAAATAGGACCAAATTCTGTTTCACAGTAAATAGTCTTCGAATAAAGTTCTAATGAAGATGTCAGATGGTTTACACTTAGAAGATTGAAATAATTACGAGTTTTTTAATCTCCATTTCTTAATATTTCAAGTTTATTTTCTGTAAATTTGCAAATCAGTGTCTTATTTGATATTTCATGGAAAATTAAAATCTGGAATGATTTTTATCTTCTATTAATAATGGGTCATCCCATTTGTATTATGTGAAGAAAAACTATAAAATTACAAGTTGAAAAATATTAATTTGACCTTCACCAATAAGATGTTTCTCGTTTCCTCACAAATAACACTTTACATATCTTGAATACAGAGTGCATTAGTTTAAAATCTGAACACTCGATGGTTTTATGTATCTATTTTATATCTAACTATCAAATGTTTTGATAAAATTTGTCCCTACTACTTATCCATTTCAAAATTTAACGTGTCTGTCCTACTCACATCCATTTAAAGTTAGTTCTCTTCAAAATGTAATTTTTTAGATCAATAATAGTCTGGGGTATTTAGATCAATAATACTCTAGAGTATCAATAATGCTGTATTATTTGCTGAATCACAAAATGACAGCGCATTCTTCAAGGTTTGTTGTGTGAATTGTTCAAATGCCATTGTAGACACATTTTGAAACAATATAATTTTACTAGCCAATATGGAAACATTTTAGATCTTTGTGAAATCTACAGCCTGTGGAAGGGTTTAAAAATCTAATGACATATAAAAAAGAGTCTAATAGTAAAGTGGTCCTTTTGGGTTTGTCCAAGTTTGTGTATTTAAACATTTTTATAACTTAATTTTTTAGGGAAAAAAATAATCTAAAAGTGGTATAATAAGTCCTCTCTTTTATCTAGTTTACCTAACTCAAGGTGGTCCCCTATGTTTTGTGTACACCTTGAGAGAAAGCATGTTGTAGCAAGAAGACAACAAATTAGAGGAGGTAAAATCTGGATCTCTTCTCCGTTCTGCCTGGCATTTGCTGTATGGCTTTGTGCATGTCACTTACCCACCTAGGAATTAGTTTCCTCTTGTTACCCTTTGTGGGAGGGTTTACTGGATCATCTTTAAGATTGCAGTCAGACCTTCTTTAGGGCTTTTTGATGAATGCAACACAATGAATATTGTTTCATCTTTGTGTAGGAATCTAAAAAATGGAATAATAATTACACATTTCTGGCTTTTAATTCTAAATACTGAGATGAAAATGTGTAAATTAAATAATCAGATTAACATTGATTGATAGGACCTATGTCTACAAGTTTACAACAGTCATCACTTTTTTCATCATGGCTGAGTGATAATTAGCAGGAGACAGTTATCAACACTTAGCACATAGACGTGAAGACATTCACTGCTTATACAGAACAGATGGACGATAGATACTGAATCTTGTCATACATTAAATAATATGCCTGGAAATTATTTTCCAGATGTTTTAAGGTATAATGTACACGAGCCAAATTGTAAGTTTCTAAGATGCAAAATTACTTCATTAAGGAAGATTTTCAAAAAGTTCTTTTTAAAGAAGACAAAGGGCAGATTTTTGAGAGCTTTTTTAAGAGTTAGAACCTAAAATATTCCAAAAGTGTATTCAACAAAATGACGTCAAAAGCAGTATGGAAAAAACTTTCCATAGACACAGTTGTTCTGGCTTTAGGGAGTGGGAAGAAAAGCTGTATAAATTCTCTCTTGATCTTCAGTACAAATTTGTGAGTTACTGAGTGGAGCTCCCAACCCAGAAGTGAGGCCTCCTAGTACCATACCCCTTTTATGTAGAATGTCACTTCCTAGGTAAGACTGCACGATGAAGTATACCTCAGCAATATAGAGATGCTCCACCCAGAATTTATCCTGTACTATTTTAATTTTTCCCACTTATATAAGCTTTTTGATATGATGTATAGGGTTATTTTGTTACTTAATGTAAGTAACGTTATTGGACCACTTACTTTCTAAAACCAACAAATATTTGATTATGTAGCTGAAAAGAGTAGAGTTGGTATTTACCCAGATACTACGATGAATATTAGCAACATGTTGAACTTCAACACCAATATGTTTTAATTTACTTTTTTCTATTCTATGAGATGCTACCTTCTCTCCCTTCTCTCAGATGCATCCTCTGTCTACCCATCCCCCCCCATCTTTCTTTAGGTATATATTCCACCTCTCCCTCCCAAATTTTTTGAGATTTTAAGTTATCCCATTTGAGGCTCAAGTAGACAAAATCTTGAGTGTAGCTGAATAACTTATGGTTGGTGGGATTTACTTGCTACTGGAAATCCATCTACTCATTCAACATTTAGCACCTATTTTATCCCTGGCACTGTTTTAAGTGTTGGGTTTACATAATTCAAAAGACACGGCCCATCTTTTAAAAAAATGTAATGAGGATAGGAACAAAACAAATATATTGCAAAATAGTTACCCTAACCACCAATTAATAAAAACATTTTAAAAAATAATAGAGGGGCCAGTCTGGTGATGTAGTGGTTAAGTTCGTGCACTGTGCTTCAGTGGCCCCCCATTCACCGGTTTGGATCCCAGGCATGGACCTACACACTGTTCATCAAGCCATGCTGTGGCAGCATCCCACGTACAAAGTGGAGGAAGATTGGCACAGATGTTAGCTCAGGGCCAGTCTTCCTCACCAAAATAAATAAATAAATAAATAAAATAATAGAGAATAATGTCTAGGAAATGAAGGTCATCCTTGGATTAATTAAGCACATTTTTCAGAACACACACACACAAATGTGAGGGTGAATGGAAGTTTGTGTTTGGAGCAGCGGAAACAGAAACTGGAATGCTGGAGTCTGCTAAGGAACTCTGAGGCTATTCACAGGAAGATGCCACTGAGCTATCTTTAAGGAGGACAGTGTTTACCTGGCATATTAGTGAGTGAGGCATTTTGGTCAGAAGGAGAACCATGTTTAAAGCAAGGAGGAGGAATACTGAGTTAGGACAGAACAAGGCATATTCTTGTGATCTACAACCTGTTTGTATTATTGGACTGCAAACTTCAAGGAGAAAAGTCAAAAAAGGTGAGGACCAAGAGAGATACGGTTTAAGTACTGAAAGATCATGGGTACCATAGTCTAAAAACCTGTCAAGTACAGAACCAGAGCCAATGTGTCAAACTAATAGGAAGATAGATACTTGGCTCAATACGAAAAAGATGTCAACAGTAAGAGGCATATCACTGAAACAGGAAGGTCTTCTCCTTGGGTACCATCTGGAGGTACTTAGAAGGAGATGAGTTTTGAGTTAGTATAATAAAAAAATATCTAACAGCTCATAGGGAAATGAGCTTCTTGTCACTGAAGGTACTCAGACTGAACCTTCTTTATATGTCAGAGATGCTGTTGGAGGGATTCTCGTATCAGCTGTGATGTTGTACTAGGCTGTCCCTTGATGCATTTTACAACTTTAAGATTTGTTGAAAAATAAATAGAAACCCTTTCACCAGCTTGTGTGACTATCTTTTAGAGAAATCAAAGGGGTTTTGATGCTGTGATCTTAAAAGCAAGTATCAAAGCTGGTATTTCCATATCAGTGTGTCAGAACATGTTACATCTCTGGTTGCACAAGTACGCCAAACTTTCCCTGTAGTTTCTTCTCCAGTCTGGTTTCAATTCTACTCAGAGGTGGACTTTCAATAGGACAGTTGCTTTGTCTTGAGAGCTGTGGCCCACATCCTTCCCATTCCTCATTCCCCTGCCATACTCCTGCCACTTTCCAGGATATGAGTGTGGCTCAGGGTCCCTTTGGCACTTGATTCTGCATGCACTCATCTTCCTCCTGCACCTTCTGTTCTTTCTTGAAGACATGCTGCCCTTCTGTTGTCCTGATTATCTATAGTCTCAAAGGGTTGATTATCAAAGGCTTACACCATCACAACAGAGGGCTAGTTTTTGTTATGCACGCTATTGCTTTTGGATTTTTTTTTTTTTGCTTGTGACATTAAGGTTATAAATAAACTATAATTTTATACTACTCATAACAGTGAATTCATTGAACAGATATTTGGGGGCACCTGCAATATGACAGCCACTGTTCTTAGCCTTGAGGACTAAGCCTGCAGTGATTAAGACAAAGTACTTAGCCTTTGTGGGGCTTGCATTCCGCTGAGGGAGGACCAACTGAAAACATGTAAGAAAAATAAACACATACATAAATAGGGTATTTCATATAGTGATATATGTGCCAAATTTATATAGTGCCACAAAGCAAGCAAAAGGGCAAAGAATAGTGACTGGGTGGGATGGGCTGGTGCTTTTAGCCAGCGTGGTCAGGGAGGGACTCTCCGAGGAAGCGGTAATTGAGCCAATGCAAAAATGATGGGAAGACGCAGGTGGCCAGGCGGAACAGCAAGAGCCAAGGCCCTGAGGTGGTACTGACAGGGCCTCTTTGAGGGAGAAAGAGAGGACCAGTGTGGGCTAGCGCCTAGTGGATGAAAGAAGGAGTTGTAGGAGATGAGACTGCTGAAGTAGGCGGAGCACCAGGTCACAGATCTTAGCTTTTACTGAAATAATTGAATTTCTTTCTAATCCAGTGGGAGGCCACTGAAGAATTTTATGCAGAGAACTGATTACTGAAAAAATATCCCAAGTTATGTGTGTCATATAGGAACAGGTGTTATGTTAAAGTTCCTTGGGATAAATATCTTGTAGCTTGAATCTTTAAAATAGAAAATGAGATTGGCATTTTCACTCAAACGGGTATTTCTATTTCAGCTTAACCACTCATGAGTAATATTTCAAATAAATTAAATGACCCACATCAAAGAGTGTCATTAGCAGTTTTAATTATCTAAATTCTTCAAATTAAGAATGGTTTGCCTTAGTTTATAGCAGGAGTTGGTCTTTGCTCTTCTCAATAGTTTGTAATGTGCTCTTACCAGATGTTACTCTTATTATTCGAATGAAAATAGGTTCAGGTGACATTGTAGGTCATAGAAGTCATTGATTCCAAATATATTCACTCTGAAGAACCTCATCAACAAGGCTAGCATCTGTTGAAAGGAGAGTCACCCCTGGTTTTGGTTCTATGCTCTTTATTTCCTCACTTTGTTCTGTCATTACCGCATTATCATACTTACAGCATAAAGCTGCCTTCTTTTTCCATCAAAATGTTACCACTGTAGAATTCCGTTTCTACATAATCATAGCTTGCTGCCTTTTGCTAGCAGCTGAGTATGCTCAAAAGGGCATGGTCACTTAAATAGTGAGTGAAAATAGCTTTGGACATGCTCTCTTTTCCACTCTGGTCCTGTCCAAGGTGGCGGGACACACTGGTATGTACCAACAGTGGAAGAGTAGCCAGAACAGTGAGATGCCCTATCTCAGCAAAGTACTCTTGGTTCCAACTACAACTTCAAATGCTGTCTCTGCTGTCTGCATGTCTGGTATCTGCTCCCTCTTCTGCATCCGGTACGCGTAAAACTGAGATAAAATTGGAGGCCATGAAATTCTTTAATACCTGTGTTTTGTAAAATAGATATAGAGTTTTGCTCATGATTTAATTCTGGAAATTTCTGTCATAATTTCAAGCAGCTCAGAAATTGTCTTATTATCCATTGTCAGCCAGTAGTATAAATTGCTTTCTTTTCTTTCCAGGAAATGCTTCCAGACTGCACACTTTTATTTAGAGGACAGTACGTCCCCTCGAGTGATATCCACGCCTCCCACACCTATCTTTCCAATTTCAGGTAATAGCTTAAAGTGTGACCATGAGTAGCTGGTAGAGGGTGAATGACAAGCACAATATTGGAAGATTTCTCCTTACTGGAGAGCTGTGCAAATGACTATAGAGTAGGTTAGTGGCAACACAAATATTTATTACATTGTGTTTTAGGCACCCAGGTTTATACTTTGTTCTCATTAATTGTGAACTTTCTTAACCATATAGATTATATGGCAAAAAAAACATACAGTTGTTCAGGTGTAATACATTAAAGAACATAAATACTTATAGCAATTAAATATCGGTTAAGAATAATACTGACTTCCAGCCATTTCAATTCCTTTAATGGAAACCTAAACAACAAAAGCAGATTAAATCAATGTGGTAAAGGTGGATAGGACAAAATAGCAAAAATAAGGAGAAAGTTTAGTTCCTTTCTGATCATCTGAGTTTATGTGCGAAGAGATTTAACTACATTAGAAAAGAAAAACTATAAACTGGTGAGGGTAGAAGAAAAAGGTGAGCACGAAGAAAGTATGGTTGACTGAAATACTTAAAGTATAAAAATGTCAAACAGTTGAATACCTGGGAAAACATCGACTATTTTTATCAGAACTTACCTGGTTAACAATATTTAAGAATAGCCATGGTTATTTTGATTAAGATACCCACTGGCCCTAGAATTCACACTATAACTAACATCACAGACACTTAATTAACATTTTAGAACATTTCAGAATGAAAAGTGGTAAGAAAAAAGGAGTTGTCTAGAAATTTGTGAGCTATGGAAGAAGTACTGGAGGATAGAGGATGTGACAAGGACAGAGGAGGCACCAAACCAGGGAAAACAACAGGAAAAATACATCTACGTGGTCATTTTACAGAAGCATTTTTTAACCTGTCTGATATCCCATATGTTAGAGGCCCAAGTTCTACGTGACGTTATCTTCTGAAAAGAAGAAAACCAGAAAAGGATAAAGAGAAACATTTTCTTTCTAATTTTCAACAGGCATAGAAATTAGAAGTATTTTGTTCTTTCTCCTCTTTTAGCACCACTCCATCTTTAACCATCCCTGTCTTAATTTCTCTTTTTCTAGTTTATATTAAAATTCTGTATGTTTTAGTACAGCACAGTTTCTCAGTAACATACTTAGAATTCTGATACTGGCAGCTCTCAGTTGTCTGTTGCATTTTGATTCCCTTCCCTTTCAAACATACTTTTTCTACATGCCCCATCAGCGTGGGTGTGCAAATTAACCATAATATTATCCAAGTCCAACATAGTTTATTATTAGCAATAAATAGAATAATCCAAAATTCGGACCTTGTCCAAGAAATCCAAAATCCCCTGTTCTGCTCTCAGTAGAACAGTGATCAAGGGCATCTCCTCATTTCACCTGCTCAACTCTCAAGATGTGTTCCTCATCACCCAAATATGCACGTTTTCATGTAAAATCAGAAAATAAAAACATGGATTAGTCTCACTTACTTGCAGACCAATTCATAGAAGAAATTGCCAAAATACATGACTGTAAAGAAAAAGTAGTCACTTTGCTTGTGAAAAAAAGGTTAGCTGTGCAGGATAAAATCAGTGGGTTTGAAGGACCTTTACCAGAAGAACTAATAATTTAGATGTGACAAATTATTTCTGTTTTCTTATCTAATTATACAAGTTACTTCTAGGCAAGATCCTTCTGTAGGTGTGAAGGTGGAATTGCACCTTTGTCTAGTGTTTCTTAAGCTTAACTGGCTAATTCAATTTTAGTATTCAGGTACACTCATCCAAGAGAGAGAACAGATGGATTCTAATTTTTTTTTAAGTCAATAAATTCTTGGTAACTGAAGCTTAAAAATATTAAATGGCCTAGATGCTGAACATCTGTTGATGTAAATAACTGTTTCTAGCGAAATGTGTTTGATGTTTCCTTGTCAGAGAAATCACTCGTGAAATTGCATACTGTGAACTAGTAATATGTTTAATCCAAGGAAGTCTTTCCAGGAAAAAGAAAAAAAAATAACAGAGCCAGTTAAAATAATTTGGCCCCTTCACAATTAATTAACAGATCCAGTGACTTTGTTTATATGGCATATTTTCTAGTTAGAATTCTTGAAATTTTACAGATTAAAAATCCCAAAGGTTTTTGACATTATCTTTAATGAATAGTCTACATATAAATGTTTTCTATTATTTATGGAGAGAAGGAAAGAATGTTTTCAAATGTAAACATCTGACTACTTAACTGTAAGACATTAAACTGCACAATTTTATAAAACTAAACTTGTACTGTATATTATGTTTAGTCCATAGTAAAATTGAAAATATATTATTTCTGCATTTTTTTTACCAGAATTTACATGCAACTCCCACTCGTGTTAAAGAAAGTTACCAGTAGAGAGCTGTAGTCCATTGATAGGAAGTGAGGCTTGGTGGTATTTACAATTTAACATTGAAAATTAATTCTTTTCTCTTTAGAGTATGAAAGGAAAAGAGATTCCTTCTCAAATCAGAATTCTAAAATGCAGATTATGATTGATAGTAAATATAGAGAAAATTGTTAATTGTTGTTTAATGTTTCATTGAATGCTGAGATTCTGTTGGGATTATAGGAATAATTAAACTTGAAGTTGTTTTGGAAGAAGGCACTTTATAAATCTTTATAAATGAGAGGCACACTCATTTCTGTTTAATTATCCTTTCCAATCTAATTTTTTTATTCACTTAGATGATGTTGGAGCAATTCCAATAAAGCACTTCCCAAAGCATGTTGCAGACTTACATGCAAGTAGTGGGTTTACTGAAGAATTTGAGGTATGATTTTAACGTCTATTTTAAATAATATGGAAAGTAGTAAATTTCAAAGATTCAGCAGGAGACTATTTCTTGAGATTGAAAGCATTGTCACTTCTAATGAGAATATTAGTTCCGTAATCACTTATGTGTTTAGGAGATGTGTTATGGTTGTCATACAACTTAGAAAATTGGTTTTCCATTTTAAAAGCCAAATTATACTAGTGGAAAAATCAAAAACATTGTTAATTCTCTCCTGTAAAATACAGAACTCAGTATTCTTTTTTTTAAATCTGAATTAGTACACTGATTCCTTTTAATTTTCTAAATTATATAAATTATACTAAACTACTAAATTTCATGCTTTTCAGCCAAAGTACATATAAACTCTTAATTGTAAGTATTACAGCAGTGTAAATGCAGAAGCATTTATAATACAAGGTATAATAAATATTATACAAGGTAAAATCCCATCTTCTCAAGAAAATATGCATTTGCGAAAAACATTTGAACTTCACAATCAGTGAAAATTTTTCAAGTAATATTCAGTAAAATACTGTTAGGAAGGGCAGAAAAATTTACTGCAAATTTGTCATGGCCCACTGAACTATCAGTTAAGCAGGTTTTTCAAAATAGGGTGCCGTAAGCTCAGAGTTAATGATAACAACTACAAAAAATTAAAGTGACCATTGTTGAGCCCTCCGTAATATGCCAGTCATTGGACTAAATGCTTCTCCATTCAACCTTCACCCAACTTTGGAAATTATTTGTATTTATTTCTGTTCATACTACTGATGAAATCAACTTCCACAGAAGTTAATTAGCAACTAATAAGTAGCAGGGCTGGAATTCAAACCTAGGTCTATGATTTTAAAACTCACGTCCTTTCCATGCCAGCAATCAACGGCTCCTCACTCCCCTCTGGCCTCTCCCCTCTAGGAAGCATCACATTGCTCCCCCTCTCCTAACCCCAAATTGCCCTCTGGACGTCCCTCTTTGAAGCACTTTGAGCTCTGATCCCTGTGAGAGGGTTTCCACCATCCTCAGTGCACCCAGCAACTACTTCCCAGGAGTCATATCAACCAAGACATATTTAGAGAAGGAAAATGCTGTAGATTAGAAAGCTTTAAGAAATCAAAAGAAATAGAAATGAAATGTGGTATGTTTTCACTAAATTAAAAATAATAGAAGCCAGTTCATTTAATCTTAACAGAAATCTAAGTCATAGCTACATTGACTGTGATGGCAGTGTGAGGTATACTTAGTCAAGTGAGGTTTCCTTACTTAGTCAAGTAAAGTGGAATATATAAAAAATTACATATTTAAACATCAAATTAATTTTTCTTACCACAATAGAGATTACTGGGTGGTGCAGTATTAACTCATAGAAACTATTAGGCATACATCAAACAAAATTGAAATTGAAAGAGAGAGAATATGTCAAGGATGGGTCTAATCTTCCAAATGTTAAAAACCATCAGGAAGGGCCAGCCCCGTAGCCTAGTGGTTAAGTTTGGCGTGCTCCACTTTGGCATCCTGGGTTCTGTTCCCAAGCGAGGGCCTACACCACTCGTTGGTGGCCATGCTGTGGCAGCAACCCACATACAAAATAGAGGAAGATTGGCACAGATGTTAGCTCAGGGCGAATCTTCCTTAGGGGGTAAAAAACCATAAGAAAAATATACAATTTATAATAAGAGTTGCTGATAGCATATGCACAAAGGCAGATTCACAGTTGTGACAACTGTAAAATCATTTTGAACATTATTAAGCAGTTCATAATAATTAAATTAATAAAATAACTTCACATTTTTACTCAAAAAGTGTTTTGTTAATTCCATTGCTTTTAACTCACAGTCTGATTCAATAAAACTTTTCATTAACTTAATAATTAGCTTAATGACTAATAATGCTATACCTTTTAAGTGGTTCATTATATTAAATTGTTTTTAAATCTAGAGTCAGAACGACTTGCTGGGAAAGAGGCCTTAAAAGCTTGTTTGGAGAAAGGCTGGGCCATTTGCTGATGAATCAGATTCATATTTGGGTTATGTACTTTCTCTAAAATGATGAGGCTTTCATGTTATTATATTAATACTAAATAATTGTAAATTCCAAACTAATATGTTTAGGTAGACAGCATCACTGAAAGGATTTAAATTCATTTTAAAAGAGAATCAGCAGAAATAATTTTTCTCTACCCATTGAAGTTTTAATTAAAAAGAGATCTACTAATTAAATATGTAGAAAGTAATGTTATCTAAATTTTGTTCCCCAAAATGGCATATATGATAAAAAATTTTAGTAGATTTTTAATGTTTTGACAGTTCTAAATCTGTTATAAACCACCTAATAGGAAGCTGTTTACTCTTTAAAATTACTCATAGTAAACAAAAAAAAAAAGTGTATCACTAATTCAGAGTTTCAAATAGTGCTGTGGTGGTCAAATAAAGTTATATTTGAGTGTTAGCAAATCTGACTCATATGACAAAATGTGTCATCAAATATGTGGTTTTTCTCATCTCCGTTTTAAAAATTCATCATATTATTATACCACTGTCCCCTTTTAAAAGTGTTTAAAAGTGTTATTTTTTCCTTTTACATAAGTATAAGGTTCCAAATTGTTAGAAGTTTTGATTTGCATGCAACTGTTTGAAACATTCTGTTTAGTTAGTATTTGACAAATGTATTTATTGCATGATCATAGTTTTCCATTGTAAACCTAATATGAACGCTTTTTTTTCTCATTTGTCGTGTGCTGTGGAATTTGGTTTCTTTACTTTTTTGGCATTCATTCCCTCATTAGACACTGAAAGAGTTTTACCAGGTAAGGCATTATTTCACTGCATTTTTTTTTAGCCAAGAAATAGTTGTAACATGTAAAAAAAAAATTTTTTTTGGATAGATTATTTTGTTTGTTTTGTCTCCCTAATTATATTTTAAGGCACTTTGTTTGAAAGGATGTGTGTTAAAATGTTGCACGTACAATTTCTTTGCAGGAAGTGCAGAGCTGTACTGTTGATTTAGGTATCACAGCAGACAGCTCCAATCACCCAGACAATAAGCACAAGAACCGATACATAAATATCGTTGCCTGTAAGTATGTCCTTCACTCAGCTCTGACTTTGCGGTCATTGTCACTGCCTGCTTTTAATTGATGTCCCACAGTCCTCTGATAGCCGACCTCAATGTAGCTCTTTCAGGACCTTTGTATCAGGAATAAGGCTAGTGTTAGGTAATACAGACTGTTACATCACCCCAACTTAAACACATTCTGCAATTAATGACATCGTTTCTTTTAAACAGAAAAACTCAAATTTTAATCCAGTCCTTTCTTCAGGCCCCATGGGTTGTAAGTCTTCATATGGTTTCTGTCACTGTTTGTATTCCATACTCCTGTTTTCACTTGAGATCTCCCTACTTTATGTGAATTTACTAACCAAATGAGATTTTCTTTAGACTTTATTTTTCCTTCTACCGTTTTCTTCCCTTTCTTGCCATTCTTCCAGGATTCTTATAAAGAGTTAGTTGGATTCATTCTTTTTATTCCTTCTTTTCCTTTGTTGTGTTAGCTGTTCTCTCTCTTCCTCTCCTCGATGAGCAACTTTCTGGCTCTTTTCTTGAATGCGAGTTTACCTATTTTTTCCTATGAAATTACCATCGTTTTTCTATCTTCTTAGAGCACCTCTTGTTTACACCTGTTCCCTTTTATTTTCCTTTCTCCTCCATCTCTTGAAATCCACCTTCATTCTCCCCCCAAAACTTCTACTTATATCCTTCCTTGTATATTCAGTAGGCTCCCTAGATTTGTATGAACACAGTATTACCAGCTTGGTTATTTAAATTCTGGTTCCATTCTAGTTTCTGGAAGCCAATGAAGCTGCACTCTCCTCCCTTTTTTTTTTTTTTTAAGATTTTATTTTTTCCTTTTTCTCCCCAAAGCCCCTGGTACATAGTTGTCTATTCTTAGTTGTGGGTCCTTCTAGTTGTGGCATGTGGGACACCACCTCAGCGTGGCTCAATGAGCAGTGCCATGTCTGCACCCAGGATTCGAACCAACGAAACACTGGGCTGCCTGCAGCGGAGCATGCGAACTTAACCACTCAGCCACGGGGCCGGCCCCTCTCCTCCCTTTTGTTATCACATTTTCTAAATAGTTTGCATAGGTGCCACCTTCCTTTCCACAGGGCCTACACCAATTTTCATTTTATTTTACTTTTTTGCTGAGGAAGATTTGCCCTGAGCTAGCGTCTGTGCCAATCTTCCTCTATTTTGTATGTGGGTTGCCACCACAGCATGGCTGCCAATGAGGGGTGTAGGTCCACACCCAGGATCCGAACCCAGGCTGCCAAAGTGAAGCATGCTGTATTTAACCACTAGGCCACGTGGCCCCCAATTTTTATATTTTAATAGAATGCTCTGCTTCATGTTTGTCTTCCTCGACTGAAGCAACTTTCCTCATTGCACATAAAAACTCAGTTATTTCTTGGACAGGGTGAGGTGGTTACACTATTCCCTCTACAAGCTAAACAGAAAATACCCACCAGGTGATTGAGAAGGGGGTGGAGGCTAACATTTGTGGAACACCTACTCTGTACCTGGCACTGAAAATGCACTATTTCACTTAATCCCTGAAACAACCTGGCAAAATAAATAATAACAGTCCTATTGTAGAGACGGAGAAAAACAACCAAGAAAATTTACCCAGTAACAACTCTTCTAAAAATATTAGAACCAACATACAAAAATAGGTCAGCCTGGTATCCAAACCCGTGTTTCCATTGCCATATATCTATTTCGACGTAAATTCCCTCCACCTTTGTGAGCTACTACTGTCACCGAAGTATCAATGTCCCAGAATCTCTCTTTAACTTGTCATGGTTCAGTCTGTATTCACTTCTTCATCCTTAAAAAGAATAGTCTGGCCTGTGAAGCTACCAAATTTCCTTCTAGTAACACCTTTCTTTCTTATTATGTAGTTCCCACAAGTAAATATAGTTTTTCTGTAGAACTGAAGTTAATCCCAAACTTCTTATTTTAGCACATTTGAATTACCACAGTACACCATGTATAAATTACCATACTCTTCCTCCCCTTTTAATGGACAGTGCAGGATCCACGCCCTCTGTTTTTGGGCATCTGTTCTTCTGCCTCCCTTTGCAGTAGTTTCTCTTGGAGGTTCTTCCCTTAAAAGAGCTGTTTGCTGTAACCAGTCACAGAAGCTTCCTAGGTCCCTTCTGCTTCCTTCTCTACTTACTTTTCCTCCATCAGCCTCCTGTTCAGAGTGTATATGCTGCCATCCTTCCTTAGCTTCCTAAGACTCCCCGTCACTCTTCTCTTCCCGTCAATGGCTCTCCACTGTTCCCAGCTCCAGGATCCACCTTTAGAAACCCATCTAAGACACCAGCTTCAGGTTTACAACCTCTATGAAAACGTTTATTGTCTTCCCAAACCAACACGATTTCTGCCTTCATATCCCCCTAGTACTTTGTAGCTCCCTCTTGACACCTGAACATTCCTTTCTGAATATATGTCCATTCTCACCTTCTACATTAGAAAAGTTCTTGAAGGTGAAGGCTCTTGTTATATTTATCTTTATCTTTGTCATCTCTGTATCTCCCAAAAGCCTAGTAAATAGTTTTTGCATTGATTTTAATTGTATTTGATAAATTATTATGTAAATATAAATGACCTTTATGCTGAAAAGTAGTCCATGCTATAGTGAAATATTTTGTTTTTTTTATTACAGATGATCACAGTAGGGTTAAGCTTGCACAACTTGCTGAAAAAGATGGCAAACTGACTGATTACATCAATGCCAATTATGTTGATGTAAGCATGTTTTAATTGAAATGTTTATAGAAATTATATTAGACTACAAATTTTTTTTGGCTATGAATTTATTATACCACTGTGCCATACATATACTAGTGCTTAATTGATAGATAATAAAAAATGCAAATCAGCAGTAAGAGATCCCGTGACTAAACAATTTCAGATTGAATAACACTCAAGCTGTTATGTTTGGTTTATCTCCCTGGTGAGAGAGGGAATTCAGGTTGGGATTGTACGTTCAAGGCAGAATATATATATTCAGATAGGTTTATAACTCCTTAAATGTGAGGGGCAGGACCAGTGTTTATTTTGAATGTCCCACAGCTCCTAGCACAATGCTGTATATATAGCAGATGATCAATAAATCCTGACTGAAAAAATTTCCAAGCTAGTACTGGCTAAAAGTGATCAGTAAACCAGTTATCAGCCTTTATCCTCTTGGACATTCCTCAAGATACCTACCTTTGTGGAACTTATTGGAACTCTTCAGGGACTGTAGACCACTCACTCACTTACTGGTTTTTCACCGTGGTCAGTTGAATGTCAACAGAACTCAGTTGTTTTCCTGACACTGACCTTGCGGTCTAGCTGCCTTCAGGTTTGCACTGTGTGGGACACTGAATTCAAAGCAGTGAGTACCAAATACAAGTATACAATGGGTTTGTTATAGGCAACCACCTCGTGCTTCCAGATGAGGAAATATGTATGTCACACTGAATAGGGGCTTTGGAGTTAGAACTGGTTTTGAGTCCCAGTTTTCCCATTAGCTAGTTCAGGGAGCTTGGAAAGCCACTTACGCCTCTGAGCTTCAGTTTCCTCATCTCCAAATCAGGGACGGTGCTTCCATTTTGCAGAGAGATTAAGGATTAGAATTAGTGTTTGTAAAGCATCCTGGCTAACCATGGGTGCTCAGGGAAGGATAGCTATTAATGATTAGCATTGCCCAGTCCCACCAAGGAGGCGGTAAGGAGACAACACCAGAGGTTTCCTGACTGTTGCAGACAACTGAGCCCCAATGCCTCAAACACTTTTCAAAGCAGCACAAGGACCAGTTGGTAAGCCTAGTATGTAGACTTAGATTAAATGCACTTGGACTAAAGGTGCATACAATTGTGTTGAAGCAAAGAGAGCTCTTTTTTCTTTTTACAAAAATCATGGTTAAAGGAGAGTTTCTGTCTTTGCTAGTATTATCAAGTTTCTTCAGCTTTGCAAGTGTGTTTTCTATAGAAGAAATGTGCTGACCGTAAAAATTTAAGTATTGTACAATTTAAAATGGTGTACAAATCAGTTACAAAGAAACACTTGTCGTTTGTTTCTTTAGGGCTACAACAGACCAAAAGCTTACATTGCTGCCCAAGGCCCACTGAAATCCACAGCTGAAGATTTCTGGAGAATGATATGGGAGCATAATGTGGAAGTTATCGTCATGATAACAAACCTCGTGGAGAAAGGAAGGGTATGTGGGTAACCTATTGTGTCATCCCTAAAAGAGTGATTAGAGGTGCTTTAAATTTCTTTTAATAGAGACAGCATTAGGAAGCAGCAAAAGTTATGAAAGCTAGTCAGGATTCATTTCTAGGAAGTATGACAGTTAAAGGGAAACTGTTAACATTATAGATCAAAAAGTTTTACTATAAATCAAGCTATCTGCTATTTAAATACAGTCCTCGTACTATGAGAAAAATTAAAAGGGGCTCATTGAAAAGCAATGGAGGGTGAAATAGATTTTAATTCGCAGGAGCTGGATTCTAGTGCTGGCTCTCCAGTGACTTGGTACATCTGGCCTCACTTTCCTCATCTGAAAGGGGGAAATTTGGACCAGATCATCTCAAGTCCCTTTCAGTTCTGTGATTCTGTCCCTGGTTTCCTCTACAGCTAATCTGTAATCATTTAGGAAGGAAAGAAAATATTTAGAATAGTGAGGGAGTCCATTCCGCTCACGGTCTCAGACCCCTACTGACTTCAGGGATGACTCTTATGTCACACATTTGAAATATGGAAATAGCATCTTTTCTTTCTCTTTTGCAGAGAAAGTGTGACCAGTACTGGCCTGCCGATGGTAGTGAAGAGTATGGGAACTTCCTAGTCACACAGAAGAGTGTTCAAATGCTTGCCTATTATACTGTGAGGAATTTTACTCTAAGAAACACAAAGATAAAAAAGGTGGGTCAGCAAAGGATGGACATCATCAACTGAGTGATTCATCTGGTCCTTTTTTAAGTGAGTGGGTAGTATAACCAAGACAGGGTAAAAAACATATAACTAAAGGCACTGAGAGTTCTTATCACAGCTCTGCTTCAGTCTCAAACGTTTCTTTCAAGTCTCTAAATGCCAGCTGAGGCTTTGGAGCTAGGTTGGTCACGGTGCCCATGGTCTTAGTGGATATGATGCCCCATAGGATAATGGCACATTCAACTAAAAATAGTGGAGATTGACACAATGGAAGCAAAAGAACCAGAACAATGCTGTATTGGTCAGGATTCTCCAGAGAAACAAAACTAATAGGATATATATTTATAAAGAGAGAGAAAGAGATTTTAAGGAATTGATTCAAGCAATTGTGGGCACTGTAAGTCTGAAATCTGTAGGGCTGGCCAGGAGCCTGGGTATCAGGTAAGAGTTGATGTTGCAGTCTTGAGTCCAAATTCATCAGGGCAGCAGGCTGGAAATACAGGTAGGGTTTTTGTGTTGCAGTCTTGAAGAGAATTCCTTCTTCTTCAGGAACACTCAGTCTTTGCTCTCAAGGCCTTCAACTAATTGGATGAGGCCCACTCATATTATGGAGGACCATCTGCTTTACTCAGAGTCTAGGATTTAAATGTCAATCACATGTAAAAAATATCTTGACAGCAACATCTGGTATGACTGGTGTTGGACCAAACCCCAGGCCACCATAGCCTAGCCAAATGGACACATAAAGTAGCCATCATAAATGATAGTGTGCTTTTTCTGCTTCATTCTGGAACACCGATATCAAGCTATAAATCCTGAGTTGATATTTAAGGACCCTGTGTATGTGTGTGTGTGCATGCATGCACACGCATATGTGCACATGTGCATGTGTATGTTCCTGTTATTAGCTGTCTGGACTCTTCTAGGGCTCCCAGAAAGGAAGACCCAGTGGGCGTGTAGTCACACAGTACCACTACACCCAGTGGCCTGACATGGGAGTGCCAGAGTACTCATTGCCCGTGCTGACGTTCGTGAGAAAGGCGTCCCATGCCAAGCGCCATGCAGTGGGGCCTGTCGTTGTTCACTGCAGGTGAGTCTCAGAGACGAGTTTCTAAACCCACAGAATTGCTTATGCTAACAAAAAGGGAATCAGTGGAACAAAGGTTTTGCCAAAATGGGAGTGATTTCATGAAGTGAGAGGGATGAAACTACATATCCATTTTCATAAATATCGATCACTGGGAAATGAGTATGCCAGATGCAGAATTTGATTGCTGAATATTTCAAAGCATTAGGTATTTTTATCATATTTATTATTCTATTTGATTGTTGAATTAGATTTCAACTCATTAACTGTGTGAGGCAAGTAGAACAATATTTTGTTATTAAACATTACAACATAATGTCATAGGATAAAAATGTTTAAGATGCAACCTCCATTCCTAGGAGTTCATAGTTGCTTGTGGAGTTATTATGCCAGGTTTACATTAAAGAGACTGAAGCACACAGGGCGTGAGGAATTTGGTAAAATACTTTTAAGTCATTTTTAAACAGTTTGGGTTCAAAATCCCTTTCTCATTTTCCTGAATTCTTTCTAATATATAATATTGAATGTGTTATCCATTCATTGTTGCTTAAGAACTTTAATATCCAAGACTGAGTTGATGAATAGAAATAATGATATATATATTTTTTTTTTATTAAAGATTTGCACCTGGGCTAGCTACTGTTGCCAATCTTCTTTGGGTTTTTTTTTTTCCTTCCTCTCCCTAAAGCCCCCCAGTACATAATTGTATATTCTAGTCGTGAGTGCCTCTGGTTGTGCTATGTGGGACGCCACCTCAGCATGGCCTGATGAGCAGTGCCGTGTCCATGCCCAGGATCCAAACCGGCAAAACCCTGGGCCACCAAAGTGGAGCGTGCAAACTTAACCACTCAGACTCGGGGCCAGCCTCCAAATAATGATATTTTAAAGAAAAAGAAAAGTACTTTACGAGTTTTAGTCTAACATTGTTCAGTGAAAATAAAAATAGCAGTTAACATTTACTGACTGCTTATTCTGTGCCAAGTTTTATGACCACAGAAATCAAATGCATTTCTGTGTGCAATACTTTTGTCAAAGCATTGTCTGTGTTTTTATAGAAGCAAGTGTTTTCCTTTGATATACAGCTTATCTGACACATTCTAATTACCTATTTGAGGAGTTATCCTCAGACAAAGTTTGAGAGACCTACCTTGAGTTTTTTTATCTGTTAACCTGAAGATAAGCTGAAGGAAACAGGAAAATGCAAGAAAAATAGCTCTGAAGGTCAGGAATTGTTTCTTAGCAAATGGAGAAGGACCAGCGTATTGTGCAGAGCAGGTGCTAATTTTCCTCTCTAGCACTTCCTACTTGTCGGAGCATTTGAAAAGAAACCCTGTCTATGAATTCTTTCCCTCCGGTAGAGGCTTTGAAGAAGTCGATAGATAATGGTCCTTTAGAAATGACTGAAGTTATGCTTTATTCCTCACAATCTCACTGAAATGATATTTTTAGCTGAAAGCCTTATCAAATTCTTTTTCCCATTAATGCAGAAACCTTTACAAACATGTCTGTCTGGCAGTACAGACCCAGGGACCTTTTCTTTTCTGAGTTTGGTTTCATTTTTCTCAGATTAAATGTCTATTTGTTATGCTGTCATACATAACATTTTCATTGTGTAATATATAATGAATAATAAATAGAAATATTGAAAATTTAAAAATCTCCAACAGAAATAGTCAAGTTGTAACAAACAAACACATTAGATACAGAGAACAGATTGGTGGTTACCAGAGGGGAAGGCGGGTGGGGGGAGGGTGAAAGGGGTGCGTTTGTACAGTGACAGATGAAAACTAGACTTTTGGTAGTGAATGTGATGAAGCATGTACAGAAGTCAAATTATAATTATGTATACTTGATATCTGTATAATATTATTAATCTGTGTTACCTCAGTTAATAAAAAAGCAAAGAAATAGGTTGTTTTGCAGTTTGACCTCTAGCAAAAAGTGAAAAAGGAAACTTTGTTATTTGAAGCATGGTGCTTAACTACTACACTGCTTACAATTTTGGACTGGTCAGTTAGTTGTTATGCAGCTCATTTGCTTGGGGAAAGAACTTATTTTAAGGTACAAGACAGCCAGTAGTGACCCATCGTCAAGTTTATTTTATGCTTAATATTGAAACAGTTCTCTCTTTGTGTTCCCTTCAGTGCTGGAGTTGGAAGGACAGGTACATATATTGTGCTAGACAGCATGTTGCAGCAAATTCAACATGAGGGAACTGTCAACATTTTTGGCTTCTTAAAACACATTCGTTCACAAAGAAATTATTTGGTGCAAACTGAGGTATGATGAAAAGGATAATTTTGTATATCTAAGATTGGAAATGTCACTAAAATGCTAAAACTGGATAGACCAGAGTTTGGATTACCCTTTAAATAAGTCTTGTAGGGCTGCTGTAGTACTGTACTAACAAGTGGGTGGCTTAAAGCAACAGAAATGTATTGTCGCATAGTTCTGGAGTCTGGAAGTCCAAAATTACGGTGTTGGCAGGGCCCCACTCCTTCTGAAATCTCTAGGGGAGGACCCTTCCTTGTCTCTTTGAGCTTCTGGTAGTCCCATGCATTCCGTGGATGTCGCAGCATCATTCTAATCTCTGCCTCCGTCTTCATATGGCTGTCCTCCCTGTGTGTCTGTATCTGTGTCCAAATTTTCCTCTTCTTGTAAAGACAACAGTCACTACCTCATCATAACCAGTTACATCTACAAAAACCCTATTTACAAATAAAGTCACAGTCTGAGGTACTGGGGGTTAGGGCTACAGCATATCTTTTAGGGGGGGGCACAATTTAACCCGTAACACCAGGTACTTGCATACAAGTCATGGATGGGCCAGCTAAATTTTGTCTATTTTGTGACCAAATGGAGAATGTCTTAAAAATGACACTGGTTACAGAAAAGATTCAGAAAAGAGTAAGTAGATTGATCAAAACCCATCCCTGCCAGCAAAATCCTCCTTTTTCCTACAGATAGTGAATGAATGGATTCATTTCCATATTTTAGAAATATGAATTATGCTCAAATGATTTCCCCTTTTAGGCCCATATAGTTTACCCATCTGTGACACAAGACAAAGTCTACATATCTGTGTTTTATTTTCACTATTTCTAAATAAAAATGAATTTAAATTGAAAAGTATGGCTAGCAGCATGAAAGCATTCCGAAACATATGACTGAGTGGGCTTTAAAACCAAACCAAACTAAATTTCATTTTATCAAGGAAATGACATTCTAGTCAGAGAAGACGAGGGAAGAGCCCCATAGTACATGAAATAGAAGATAACTATTAAAAACTGTATAGATAATTGTGCTAAACTATGTATGACTGATGAAAAGGAGAATTGGAATGGACAGAAGGGGAGGACCCATCAGAAGTAAAGAAGTTAGGGAAGTCCTTGTGCAAAATGTGGAAGAGGGTCTCAGGTTCAAGGGTGGACAGAGACGGCATTGCTTCATCTCCCAGAATCTTCCTCCTCCTTCTCACAAATATCAATACACAAGAAATAAAGGGGGTAGGGATGAGAAGAGTTTTTCTCCCTCTTGACCTCTTTCTTTCCTCCATCTGACTTCCTGCCAGGTCTGGTAAGCAAGCATTTGTGGGTTTCCTCCCATTTTGTAAAACTCTTTTTTGTCTGTCAGTGGAAGATACTATCCACTTTTTTACCTACAGACATGTAAGGAAAACCTGAAGTAGTGTTCCTTATTGTCATTGTTTTCCCAGGAACAGTATGTCTTCATTCATGATGCACTGGTTGAAGCCATTCTCAGTAAAGAAACTGAGGTGCCAGACAGTCATATTCATGCCTATGTGAATGCGCTCCTCATTCCTGGACCAACAGGCAAAACAAAGCTAGAGAAACAATTCAAGGTGAGTTCTCTTGGGAGCCTCTTGGGTGTCACCACAGAATCAAATGTTCCTACATCTTCTCTTTTGAGTCAACAAGGCCACGCGGATGGCTTGAGAGCACCATAAGCACAGTGGCTTTGTATTGTTCTTTACAACAGGCTGCAAAGCCACGTGGTAAATTTCAAGGACCTTAGTTTTGAGTAGCAAGAAGAAAAGTTGTCGGAAACCCTAGACTAACTTTTCTAAATGCAGACTTGGTCTGGGAAAGGAGGGCACAGAGCTTAACAGAATGAACAGGCAGAACTTATAATACAGACTGTGTAAGTGCTCTTTTTACTTTGAAAAAACCAGACCACTTAACCATGAGTGCTATGGCTCAGGCTGTTCATGCTACTCTCTGAAAAAATCTATCTCACTTAAAGCCCCAGGACTAGAATAGGCCACGCCACAACAATAGCTTCTTCAACCCCAGTTTCTCCCACTCACCCTGTCGTGAAGCAGTGAGCTAGAGAGGAGAGCATGTTTTGTCTGATACTGTACTTCCTGCAACCCCAGCCCTCTAACTTCCAGAAATCAGTCAGCAAAGAGTTCAGAAAACAGCTGTTACCAGACCTGCCAGCTGGGTTGAGGGGATTTGCAGAGTTGTGGCTTTCCAGAGGAAGGGAGGCTATGTTATTTTGCTCCACATTATTCCTATACTAACCTCTTACTTCCCAGGATTCCTAGAGAAACAGGGACAGTTTCTGAAGAAGGAATATCTAGGAAGAATGTGTAAGACTCTGGAAAAATCCAAGAGAAGTTAACAAACCTTGAGATAGCAGTTTTTTCTCTCTCTTTTCTCCCAGCTTACGACATAGAAGATGTTAGTCACTATGAATTCCGTCTGACTTTTTCCCTTCTCAGCACCTTTTGTGCTTTTGGAGGATTGAGAGAAAAGTTAGGGGGTGAATGGTGAACTTAGAACCTGCTGTCAAGAAAACATAAATGTTTTACTCAGCCAAGCTTATCTGAGTCATGAAGGAATGCTTTAAGGAGAGAAAAAGTGCACAGTCCGGCTTCCAGAAACAGATAATAAAGAAATACACGACATTAACATCACGTTGTTAGGATAGCTTTTCCCTAAATTAAAAAAATATATATATGTTACCTATTTTCAACAGAATTTTCATTTAAATATCATTTACCCCCTAAACAATTACAGAAAATGATTGATATGGCTAATATTGAATAACCCAGGGTGGAAATGGAAAAATCAATTATGACATCAGAATCCAGTTAAAAAGAGAGACGGTTGACTCTGTTTCCTGTTAACATCCTAACTAGGGAAATGTAGGGGGTGTGTGCGTGTGTGTGTGTGTACTGTCCTATAAGAAAAGGTATTCGTTTATCCATAGAAAAATTTCTTCAAAATAAATTGCGTGTCTATTTATTCAACAAATATTTATCAGATACCTATCACATGCCAGGCTTTTGTGTTCGATACTAATTTTAAAATTAACATAGAAAAGCAAAGAGCCAAAAACATCCAAAGCAATGCTGCAAAATGAGAAATAACAAATGGAAATTTGCTGTAATGTATATGAAAGACTTGTTATGCAGATATAATAATTAATATTGAAAAACAGACAAATGAGCCAGAGGAACTGTGCGCAGGTGGAAGTTGTTATGTGATAGGTATGACATTACAAACCGGTGAGGAAAGGACAGACTAATCGATAAATGATACTGGGACAATTTCCATGTTGAAACAAGTAGAATTAGTCCCTACCACACCTCAAACACTAAAATTACTCAACGTGGATTAAATACTTAAAGATGAAAGCAAAGTTTTATAATTATTATAAGAAAATACTGGAAAATTTCTTTTGAGGACTTTAGGGTAGAGGAAGGCTTCTTAAATAAAAACACAATTTACAGAAATCTTAAAGAAGAACTTAATAAATTGGCAATAAGTGTCTGTGTGGTTAAAGAGAACAAAGACATTGGCAACTTTTTAAGAGTATAGATTTACACTCAAGATGTCAAAAGCCCCTACAAATTAGTAAGTGACAATGAAGTAGAAATATGAAAAGGCAGTCATTAAAGAAGAAATCTAAATGGCTAATGAACACTAAAGTTCACAGTCTCACAATAATTAAGGACATGCAAATCAAAACCATGATATATCATTTTTCATCTATCAGTCTGTCAAAAATTAAACACTGATGACTCTTAATTCTCTATAGAAACCCTTACAGGTGTGCACATTAAGAAATATACAAGGGATGGTTATTGCTAAAACGTTGGAAATAGCAAAACATTGGAAATAACCCAAACATTTACTAATTGTGGAATAGATAAAAAGCAAGTAGATTATTCGTGTAATGAAGTACTGAAAGAATGAATAAATCCAACTATATACATATATATGTCCAGGCGCATACACACATATCATGCAATTTACCTCCCAAGTGTAGGCGAGATTTAGGTGGAGGAAATGGAGGGTGCACACCCACAGAGGAGGACATGAGGAGGATCCTGCCACACCGAAAGTCAACCTAGAGTGTTCTCTGCTTCCTCCAGCTTCCCTGGTGTAGAACATAAGTGTGCCAGAGAGTTCCCTAAACCAAAGTTTAGTTCAGGGAATTCTTGGAAAATATAGGCATATATATTTATATTCAGTATCTTATCTTGATTGGATCACATGCGTGTCTGTGTGTGTGTGTGTTTGTGTGTATGACTATTTGAGTGACTTCAGTGAAATAATGTGTATTTTTCTTTGACTCCCTTTCTCAGCTCCTGAGTCAATCAAATATCCAGCAGAGTGACTATTCTACAGCCCTAAAGCAATGCAACAGGGAAAAGAACAGAACTTCTTCCATCATCCCTGGTAGGTTATGTTGAATCTTGGAAAAAGAACTTTTTTAATCCTAGAAGCCTTGTAAGTAACTTGACAATATTTGTACATCTTGGAACAAAAGTAGTACATTCATATTTTTCTAATTATGCCTGATAATGTAATGTTAAAAAGGACTTTAAACTGTGAAGTCTCATCTAAAGATGCAAAATACCATAGAAAAATTAGCTTAAAGGTCAGAGACACTCAACTTGAGAAATGCGCTTACGTTTTGCAATTTGGGGGTGGAGGGGAGAGGTACAGCACTGTGAGCATGGTTGTTTACCACAAGTGTTCTGTGTTCCAGTGGAAAGATCAAGGGTTGGCATTTCGTCCCTGAGTGGGGAAGGCACAGACTACATCAATGCCTCTTACATCATGGTAAGTCGGAGAAGTCACTGGGGAGAGTGCCTGCCAGTACCAAAACCAGAGTGGGCTGTCTGAAGCAGTGACTGCAGACATGGGCAGCACCGCTGGTGGACATAAGTCAAATCTGCAGGCCCACAGCCCACAGGAGCAAGTAAAATCACAGCATCTCTTGATGTTTTTATGTGTCTGGGACTGGAGAAACCTCAAGAAAGGCAAATGAGTAGATGCAGAAACCAAACTCACCGTTCAGGACTGATGAATAGATACAAAACAGACACCCATCTAAGAGGCTGCATTTCGTTTCCCAAGGCAGATTCCCTGAGCAGACCACGGACACACCAGCTTCAGCAAAGCCCAGTCTCACTGGCATTACCTCTCCAGGTTTGCAGCACAGTTCTCAGTCTGCAAACTGGGCTCACTGGGCACCTGGATTTCTGAAGATACAGTGCTTTCCTTCTGCGTTTAGATCTTCTACGAGAAGGATGAGTGCTTTAGTAGCTGTCATGTGGCCTTCATTTCCATTTAGGGTCAGTCAGTCACAGAGCTTGGGTTCAAATGAAAAAGTCCTAATTCCCATACCAAAACCACTGTTCCAGTTATCCATGAAAGAAAATACTGAGTAATATACACGAAACAGGGAGATGTGTAATGCTGGCATATCAATACATGCCACGCTTCAAACGAGCCCACAGGGGTTAGAAATGGGATCTGAGAGACCCCAGAGCAGAAGGGGCTAAATGAGGCATGATTTTAGTAAGCAGCAACATGGAAATCATTATTAACCCAATGGCACCAGCTTCCAGGTTTCTACAGCAAAATCTGTAAGGTGCCTCCCTGGTTCCTCTCCTGTAGAGGCAGCCGAGGTGTCTGGACACCAAAGGTGTTCCAATGCCAGTAAGTATGAAATTTGGCACTCTGCTGTTGGGCCTTGTGGGAGGTGAGAAATACGAACTGTCCTCTAGATTTCCACTCTCATCTAGTGTAGGAGACATGGCCCACATGCCATTTTGATAAGTTTGCTCCTGGAGGTGACAGCTGTGTGAACTTGGGCACAACGCATAACTTCTTAAGCCTCAGTTTAATCATCTGTAAAATGGAGATCACAGTTCCTATCTCATAATACTGCTGTCAGGAGTGACTTAAAGAGAAGAAAATGCTTAGTGCTGGACCTGGCATAGAGAAGGTAGCCTGTAAACATTGGCTATAGTAATCACATTGTTATTTATAAACACAGTCTAGAAATAAAGACTGCCTTGACTTAAGGTGCATTAACTTAAAAACGTATTTTGAATGTTTCAAGTCATATGTCAGGGCTCCTTATATCTTTTCTTTGGTTTTGTAGGGTTATTATCAGAGCAATGAATTCATCATCACCCAACATCCCCTTCTCCATACCATCAAGGATTTCTGGAGGATGATTTGGGACCATAATGCCCAGCTAGTGGTTATGCTTCCTGATGGTCAAAACATGGTAAGTCCCTCAAATCACTTTTGTACTTTCCTTACAGGGGCAATAGCAGGTCACAACAGCCAGAAGTCCAGCTTACAAACAAAGAAAGTAATTTTTTTTCAATTAATAAACTAATGTCACTGGAGTTGCACCTCATCTACTATGAGGCCTGATTTGGTTGTGCAATCTCTCAGGTCTGAAACTGTTGAACAACAGTTTTAAATAAAAGTAGATTAAAATTAACTTAAATTTAAGTATTTTATGACATTGCTTAAGAAAAATTAGAATTGCAACTATGAATGAAATCAGTCCATATACTTCTGTTTACTTTTTCTTTTTAACAGAACTTGTTAGGATATTTGAAGATTCCCTCAGTGTGAGTACATCCATAGAAATATGAAAAAAAAAAAGAAGACCTATTTCATTGAGCCCTTGCATATGTACTTAACTTCGAGATTCACGTCTTGTCTGTAAAGTTAGACTGACCGTTTCAAATGACATTGGAAATTGCTTAGCCCTTAAAATCCCTAGAATCTTCTCTACTTAGTTATCAGTTATAGAAGCAACAACTTACTGTTGTTAATGATAAGCTAAGAAAGCAAACTAACAAAGCAATAGTTTGATTTCTTAAGTGTGTTATTTTATTCTGCACATCAATCTGCTTTAAGGCTTAAGATTTTGAGTAAATTTTGAGAGTCAAAGATTTTGAGTTGAATTTTCTATGACAACCAGTTAACTGCATTTCACAGTCTGACTTAGACATTTTATTAAAATCTAAAATCTTCTTTGGTATTTAATCCTCCAGGCAGAAGATGAATTTGTTTACTGGCCAAATAAAGATGAGCCTATAAATTGTGAGAGTTTTAAGGTTACTCTTATGACTGAAGAACACAAATGTTTGTCTAATGAAGAAAAACTTGTAATTCAAGATTTTATCTTAGAAGCTACACAGGTATGGACAAAGTTTAAGTGACAAACTTTTCATCTTAAGTACATGTGAAATATATGCTGATTTGAGAATCTTTTCTAGAAATAAAAAGAAGAAATCTGATTTCTTACACATTGAGGCAGATTACCCAAATAATCGATTTTAGTGTACTTGTCACTTTCATTTTCAAAATCTTACAGAATCATTAAATGGTCATCACTAAACTTCACCGTTCTTCCACACACACGGGAAATCAAAGATTTTCTCTTCTACTCAAAGCAGTTGCTGATAGAACTGAAACTGAAAATAAACACAACAAAAAGATAATTTCGTTAATCCTAATTCTCATGTTTTAAAGCAAGTCCTTACCTTGTGTTCTCCTAAAGAAAATGAGAAAAATATTTCCTACCATTATGAGCTCACTGCTCTCTGGACAATGGACAATGTGTTGATAAGTGAAGAAATGCTTTGGAAATGTGTAATACAATAAACTAGGATTGTTTTACCAAATTCTTGGTTATCTGCAGGGAATCAATCTGAATTCTTTGTCAATAATTGTATATATAATTATAATACAGTACATAATTTACTGTACCGCTACAGTAAAATACTAAAAGATAACTAATAATGATGAATAAGTCAGGTGAGATTGAGTACCTTCTCAATCAGAAAAAGATTAAATCCTCTTTTAGATGGTCTAAATCTTTCACTTTATTATCTTCTAACTCTGAAACTGGTAAACCATGTACAGTATGTAAGATTTACTATTCTCCAGAATATTTGAATGACCAAAACATATAAACTTGATAATGCAAATAGAATAATAATGCAAACAATATAGCAATAGAATCGTTTCCTACTTGATTAAAACAAAAAAATGAACATGTTGATTCCAGTCCCAGATGAACAATGTGGCCTTGGGAGAGCAAGTGACGTCCCTTATTTGTAAAATGAGGGGCAGAAATTAGAGGAATACTATGTTCCCTGAGAGCATTTGACATTCCATCCCAATTTCCATCCGTTCCAGTTGTTCCCTAAACACTTCAGAAGCACCCATTCAGATCTGTCCTCTCTGGTACCCTCCTCCCATCATTCTCCCCAGTTAGTAAAAAGCTTATTATGAGAGTAATAATCATTAGATACCCATTATCTTGTCGTACTCATTATCTTGATTGCTGATCATGTCTAATATCTAGCTTAGGCTTGTGTAATCAGCACAGTTTTTCTCCTGGTATTATGCAGAAAATAAACTAGAGAATAAGCATTCATGGTAGATCCCAATTCTGTATGTCTCCTCTATGGAAATAGCTGCTGTGGACACCTTGATCACCCAGGAGTCTAACATAAAGATGGGCAGTACCTCTAAACAATGGTCAGGCAAGAAGGGAAGACTCAAGTGGACAGTTGCACAGCTTCAAACATTTATGAGCACTTCCCCCCAAAATACGACAGCATTTGAGGTTGGTAGAGGGGTGAAAGTATACGCTAAATAGACCGGGATTTGTTGTAGTGTCCAGGAGATTTGGCGTAAACTACTGAAATCAGGAGCTGGGGCTTTTATTTCTTTATTTTTATAAGAGTTATTTTTAAAATGTATGAAACATTGAATAGATTTAAAAGAATGTTCATAAAATATGTACAAAGGATTAAAATAATACAATAAATGAGTTTAAGGAAAAGAACACAGCCTTTACCTCTGCAGTCCCCCACATGCCCCCATCCCATTCCATCCCTTCCTACCTGCTTCCTGAACCGTGTTTTTTGCTGTCTTGGTTTACTTTATAAATTTGCCATTTGCCTATTTCTTAACACCACGTTGTTTAGTTTTGAATAGTTTTGAACTTCATGTAAATTATGTGTATTTTTCAGAGATATATACTACTTTCCTTCATCATTATGTTGCTGAGATTTACCCATGTAATTGAGTATAATTCAAATTCATTTATTTCTGCTGTTTAGCGTTCCAATTTATAAATTACTTTTTTCCTTCTACATTCGGGTTATTACTCGTTTTTGTTTGTTCATTTTGTTTTGTTTTGCTACTACAAACAGTGCTGCTATGAATATATTTAGACACATGGGAAATTTTCTCTTGTGTATACCTGGGAATTCCCCTGCTGGATCACTGGGTATGAGCATCTTCAACTTACTTCAGCTTTAAGTAATACCAACTATTTTCCAAAGGGGTTCTGCCAGTCTCCTCTCCCATCAGGAATACATGAGTGATTTGGCATCTCTACCTCCTGACAAGTGTTGTGGTGGGGATGAAATGGCATCTCATGCTGGTTTTAATTTTCATTTCTTGTTGCAAATGAAGTTAAATATCTTTATTTCCTCTTTTGTGGAGTTTCTGGTCATGATTTTGGCCCATTTTTCTATTGTTATTATTTTCTTATTGATTTATTGGAGGTTTTATATTCTAGATACCAATCCTTTGTCAACTACCCACGTTGCAAATACCTTCTTCCAGTTTGTGATTTGACAATTTTACTTTTTTCATGATCCTTCTTGGGGAATAAAACTTCTTAAGTTTAATTCATATGAATTTATTAATCTTTTCCTTTTCCACTCTTACAAGGAAACCATCATTTATTGTCTTAAAAAATTCCCTTCTGAAATTATAAGGATAACTGTCCTACATTGTTTTCTAAATTTTTTATAGTTCCACCTGGAATTGATTTTTTGTATTATATTTTGTGAGGCAAGAGTCCAATTTCATTATATTCCATGTGAGTAACCTTTGTCCCAGCGTCATTTATAGATCACCAATACTAGTTTATTCATAAGCCAGATTTCTCTGTATGGATGGGCTTGTTTCTAGGATCTCTGTTTTACTCCTTTGGTCTCTTTGTCCATCCCTCTGCCAAAACCACCACGCCTTAGTTCTTATAGGTTATAATAATTCTTGATACCTGGTGAACTAATCTCCTATCTTATTTTTCTTCTTCGGTATTATCTTGGCTATTATGGACTTCTGCAATTCCATATAAAATTTAGGTTCTGATACTTCGTTTTAAATGTCCTGTTTTACTGAGGACACTTGAGGAAACTGGGGTCAGAGTTTAAGGGATTTAGAGTCACATAGATTGTTTAGTCACTTAAGCAAGAATCGGAGCTGGGACTGAATGGGAACCTGGATCTCTGCCCTCCTCGCCGGCATTTTCCCCACCGAGTCATGCAATTTTGTCCTTCCCTTAGTTATTCTTGAGTAATATGGCTATCTGAAAAAATCTATGCTATTTTAAGACAAATTTTAACACCAAAGATTTCTTTTTACAAGTTCAAATTTAGCGGCACAGACCCATCTTTGGTACGTCCTTCCACGGCTTGATTGGCATGATAAACCCATAAGCAAGTTTTATTTTTAGAATCAAAAAGGGACTACATCTACACCTGGTAAACGTGGCATCACAGCAATTCCTTCCTTCATGACGGAGGTCGGGCTGCAACTACGCTGCTCACTCGTGCAGCCTGTTTGGTTTTATTACTTTACTGTAATTCCTGATTTTCCCCAGTTATTCCACTCACAATAAACTGTCACTCACCAATATGACTCTTTTAAAAACATTAATTTTTCTTCATTCTTATAGGATGATTATGTACTTGAAGTGAGGCATTTTCAGTGCCCCAGATGGCCAAATCCAGATAGCCCCATTAGTAAAACTTTTGAACTTATAAGTATTATCAAAGAAGAAGCTGCCACCAGGGATGGGCCCATGATTGTTCATGATGAGTAAGTTCTACTCTTTAAATCATTTCACACTAGAGCATGCTCTGGGTGTGTGTATATTTCATTTGTCTTTGTGCTAACTAATACTTTAGACCAATTGTGGTGATTCAGCCAGGGCGGATTGTCTAATTCTTATGAACAAGGTTAACACAGAATAGATTTTTCACTTCTCTTGGAGCTGCTGTTGAAGGCAGAAGACGAGTACTCGATCAAGAATTTGCTCTTACATTGTATGCTGAGACTACTTTGTGTGACGAGTCAGTATTTCAGGACTTGGGTTTTTACAGGTGCTAACCAGAGAGACATTTCTCAGCCACTCATTTCCTGGAATAGGAGTAAAATTGATTTATTTTTTATTTACCAGAAACAGAAATCTTTATCCAATAGATCTTTCCAGTCTGCTGTTATGAACAAATAAAAAATGCATATGCTGGAATTATATGTTATATGCATATTATATATAATACGTATTATGTAACATAACCTCAGTCAGATCATTTTGATTTATTGCCAGCCCCTTCCATAGTATAAAAATAGCAAAGGCGTAAACAAATATTAAACTTTTATAAAGTATCCCATTACTTATATCATAACACTAGCCAATATTTCAAATTAAACCATAGTTCTATGTGCAATAAAGTAAACAAAGACAATTCATTGAAAATTTCAGTGTTCTTACTGCAAAGTTGTCAAGGCTGCATGCTCTGTGAGTTCCAAATGTGAAAGTGTGATACATCTGAATGGAGTCTTTGTCCCTTCCCTTTGCTTCAAGGCATGGAGGAGTAACAGCAGGAACTTTCTGTGCTCTGACAACGCTTATGCACCAACTAGAAAAAGAAAATTCCATGGATGTTTACCAGGTAGCCAAGATGATCAATTTGATGAGGCCAGGAGTCTTTGCTGACGTTGTAAGTAATAAAGCAGTGAACCAGACTTTTCACTGTTAAGAGTCCTACTTACTTCCCAGAGGCTCCCAAAATCATTTTATCACATATCAAAAAACATCACATTGGCTGATAACATTAGCATGCAGTTTTTTTCAAGCTGAATTACAAGTACTTCAGTCCATGATTCATAAAACTGGAACAATAAAGAATAAACATTTAAAGTTTATCTTCCAGAAAGTTGATGGATAGAAAATTTTAAATCTCATGCGTGCCTTTTGCAAGACTTATTCTGAAAAATAGCCTCAGTAGAAGCGCTAACTAATCTGACTTATCCAACAAAATAAATAGTTATTTTCCTGGGATTCAAGTTCTGCCTAGCCTCAGCACAATCAGAAGACAGACCTCAAAGATTTAGACGCTGGACCTGTTCACTTTTTTCTCGAGCCACATTCAATTTCTGAACTTAACAACTGGCTAATTCTTGGGTACTTTTAAAAAGAAGGAGCGACTCGTACAATCAAGAAAGAGGCACAGCACATCTGGAGAGAGAAGTCTCAACTCTGAAAATAATTTAAAGTTTTTGTTATTGTAGAAACAAGGTCTGGAAAGACAATAGGGAACTTAGTGCAAATGCCCCAATGGGAGGAGCTCAGGTGGACATCGAAGTGTAGGCTCCCCTCCAGCTCCCTGGTCTGCACGTGTCTAAGGGCCTTATCAAGGGTGCATCTTCAAAGCTTTAGCCCAGATCAGTTGTCCAGAGAGCAAGGTAATCCTTGCACACGTGCTCTTTAGAGGAACCCCTATTAAAAGTCTTATTCAGGCCAGTTGAGTTGTATTAGTCTTGCCCTATGAGAAATAGCTTTCCAGAGATTGCACTTTCACCCGTTTCCTGAATGCAGTTAATGATGCACTGGTTCACATGTAGTCCTAATAGTTTTCCACTATGATGCTAGTCACTGGCTCACGTTCTCTGCAACTGCTTTCCCTCTGCCACACCACCACCCGAGTTGACATCTGTAAGAGAAAAACTCCTTTATTCTTCTGTGTGGCTGTACTTTGAGACCACAGCAGGGCACACGCATACCCTTGCAGCAGGGCATAACCAGTCAGGCTGGTGGAGTGTGAAGAACACTTGGTAAATGGTGGATCTTGTGAAAGGCCTGCATTCTGTATGAGTCCCCGAGCTGACAGTGCAGTGCCTTCTCAGATCTCTCCATAGACAAACCCAGTGGATTGCCTAGCAGCTCAAGAAAGGAGAATGAGTAGCTTATTTTTGAGTGGGTTACAGGTGCCTAGTGCCACAGGCTTTACACGCAAGTTGATAAATCAGTAACGGAACCCTGTCACGTTCCCTTCTGATTCTATGAAGTAAATGAATAAGAATGGAGTGTTTCCCATTGGCCAATGTAGGTGGGCCAATTTTCTAGGTCAATAAATGTTGGCTAATTGAAAAACTACTTTAAATTTAATCAGAAAGAGACATTAATATAGATTGTGTACCTCTGCTGAGTCTAACAGAGCCCTTCACACACTGCCCGCCCATGAACAGTGCTGAAGTGTGACTAAAAACATTCCTTCTTTATACAAACACGTGTCTTCTCTGAGCCTCCTGTTTGTAACCTCCCATTCTCTGTTCTCCAGGAGCAGTATCAGTTTCTCTACAAAGCAGTCCTCAGCCTCGTGAGCACCAGGCAGGAAGAGAATCCGTCCACCTCTCTGGACAGCAATGGCGCTGCGTTGCCTGATGGCAATATAGCCGAGAGCCTGGAGTCTTTAGTTTAACCCAGAAAGGGGTGAGAGAAGTCTACATCTGAGCATTGTTTTCCTCTTTCTAAAATCAGACAGGAAAGTCAGTTCAGTTCTTCTGTTTTCTGTTTACTTCCCATCACCTGACAGTAACTTTCATGACATAGGATTCTGCTGCCAAATTTACATCATTAACAATGTGTGCCTTTTTGCGAAACTTCTTGTAATTCACTTATTGTGTTTAAACTAAAATAATTGAATTTTCCAGTATTTCTAAGAACGGACTTGTATTTTTTTCATATTGATTTTAACAGAAAATTTCAATTTATAGATACTAGGAATTCACAACTACATAAAACATGTTTGTTTCTAGGTGTCAAATTTTTAGCTGTATTTGTAGCAATCATCAGGTTTGCTAGAACTGTAACTTTTAATATAGTAGATTGTAAATAAAACACCGTGTTCCCTATGATATTCAACATTTTACAACTGCAGTATTCACCTAAAGTAGAAATAATCTGATACTTACTGTAAATACTGCTTTAGTGTCTCCATGGACCAAATTTATATTTATAATTGTAGATTTTTATATTTTACTACTGAGTCAGTTTTCTAGTTCTGTGTAATTGTTTAGTTTAATGGTGCAGCTCATTACCTGGCCTTACTCTACAGGCTTCTGATATTGTTTTGTGTTATCTCAATGATTAACTCTGTTTTAGCATGTAATTTTAACTTTTATGGAAAATAGAAATGCATTTGTTTTGAAAGAGATGTTTTTATGAGAATAACACCTTACCCAACATTGTTTAAATGGTTTTTATCCAAGGCATTGCAAAAATAAATATAAATATTGCCATCAATTTGCGTTTGTTTGTGAAGTGTTGTGCTGGGGCATTTTAGCAGAAAATTGTGGACATGGGTCCCACTGGGAAGACGGAAGTGAGCAAAGGTTGATGAGATCAGACGGTGTACAGAGCTCTGATTCCCAAACTGTGCTTTGAGGCACACAGGGAACGCAAGAATTTTGCTTTTTTGAGGACAACACAGCAACATGTACTGACACTGCACAATTGCTACTAATAAATTATTTGGACCTAGCTACTTAATGAACAGAGCCATTACGTATTTCTTTTGGCTCAGGGGAGCTATGAAAACGTTACTGAGAAACTAACGGCACCATGTACCAAGAAATGTTGGGAAACTTTGGTTTAGAACTCACTGGGAGTTAGAAGCAGGCAGATTTGCCTGTCAGGGACAGGCCAAGCTGATTTAGAAGCCAGATGGATGGAGAGACAAGGACCAGGAGGTCTTAAATCCCAGAGTGGAAAAAGATAAGACGTCCCATTTAAGGCAAATTGTCAGGATCCATGAGCTGTGTGGAGCAGAAGTGCAGGAAAACAGGGAATCATAAGCTGACTCTGATACTGGAAACAGTCCCCGGCCTCGCCAGGAGTGCCTGGTGAGAAGGGCACTAAGCCCCAACAATGCGTGAGTGCCCTAGACGACAGGCCAGGAAAAGTTCCCTTTAAGCCAGTGGTTCTCAGAGTATAGTTCGCAGACCAGCGGCACCAGCAGAACCTGGGAACTTGTTAAAAATGCAAATCCTGGGTTTCCATCCCAGACCTACCATATCAGAAACTGAGGTTGGGGCTCAGCAGTCTACTGCATGTTAAAGTTTGAGAACCACTGCTCTTTAGCAACAGCAATTCAGAAAGCCTCCAGTTTCTTCAAGCAATATCAGGAAATTTCCACCAAATCCTTCAAATAGAACCAAAATTAATTAGCTTTCCTTTTTTTTTTAGCTTTTCTTTGAAAATAGTAGTCCTGAAGAGATATGAAATAGGAAAAAGTCCAACAAATACTAGAGTGTAACAGATCACAAAATGTGGGTAAGCGCTGCTCTGCAGGGGACAAAAGTCAACGTGCTTCTTCCTCACCCTCTCAGGGAGGAAAGACCCTAAGGGTAATCTTGACTCCTTGGTTGATTTTCCAACTTTATCTCGTAGCCCTCTTGTTTTATAGTTTTGCTCCCCCACAGTGGCTAATCATAGGTTGATCTGAACCAGGAGTATGTCTGGTATAAAAATAAAAAATTATTTTGTATATTTTTCCCTTAGCCTTTGTTCCAAGAACAAACAGCCTTTGAGGGGATATGGAATTTTTTTCCTCCATGGTTGTGTATTAGTGAGGTGCTTTGCAGAATCTCTTTCAAGAGAAATTAATTACGCAAGTAACATGTATGATAATTAAGCATTTTATAAACAAATTCTAATAAATATACCAGAATTATAAAGTCCATCATAGTTCTGGCACAATACTCCTTGAGAACTTATGGCAGCTGCTTCTTTATATGTAATTAATGCAAACTTTTAATACATACATGTTCTACTGAATGTTACACCATAGGAATCCTACTTAATTTTCATATTTCTGACCTGAAACCCCCTAATTTGTTAGCATATAAAATGACTTAGATCATTCCTCTAATATACAAAACTTGGAAAATAAGATTTCTTTATAAGCAGATAACATTTTAAAATATTTTACTAGAATTGAAGTCCACTCACAAATGGCACATAGAAGCAGAAATACTAAGTAATTATTTAATTAAAATTAACTTTTTAGGGGCCAGCCCCGTGGCCGAGTGGTTAAGTTCGCGTGCTCTGCTTCGGTGGCCCAGGGTTCGGATCCTGGGCACGGACATGGCACTGCTCATTAGGCCATGTTGAGGTGGCGTGCCACATGCCACAACTAGAAGGACCCACAACTAAAATATACACCTATGAACTGGGGGAATATGGAGAGAAGAAAAAAAAAAGCAGGGAAAAAAAAAAGATTGGCAACAATTGTTAGCTCAGGTGCCAATCTTAAAAAAAAGTCAAATATTTTTTTAAAAATTTAACTTTTTAGAGAAAGTGGGAAAAATTACACATTTGCCAAAATAAACAGAACACATTCTTTTATTATTATAACCATGACTGAATATCATCCACTCACTTGTTAATTGCAAAATATTCTGGTTCATTAGAGGTCTCCTCCCCACTAGGACGTTATTGGTGTGGTAGAGTAGTAGATATTAAATGTTAAGGCATATAAATGAAACACACTGCACCAGTTTTAAGACTCTAGACATCCTTTGCATTAAATTATAGTTAAGTTTTTTCGAGGTAATCATTTTTGAAAAGAAAAACAAGATTTAGAAGTGAGAGTAAGAAAAACTGTGGGTGTAAGATTGAAACTTCTCATTACATACACAACAATAACTTCTAATCGGCCCATCAGTTGTGACACATTCTAAGCAGGCCACAAGAGACACAGACCTTTGAAAAACTTTCCAAATATGCTAATTTGCAATCCTTTCTCTGCAACTTTGGATGTGCCATTCACTACATCTCTCACATCCTTATTATCTTGCTTCTATCCTAGGGGAGTTTCCTCAGTTCCGAATGACCTACACAGAGAAATGAATTGATGCAGGTCATTTTTTCCTTGCTCCAAACTTGCTTAATGAAGAAATGTATTGAAAACTATAGTGTTAAGGTTCCTGATGAAAAGTATTAAAATAGAAAAGTCTCTTAAAGCACTTTTACTTCAAGTAAGTGTTTTAATGGTTTTTAAAGGAAATTAAAACTGCATTTCTTGGGCTGTTTAGAGAGTAAATGAAAAACATTCCACCTTTTGTCTGTACAGTTTGTCCAGTTCTAAGCTCATGGGGATACATAAAAAGGTTCAAAGAACCACCTAAAGAAAAAATGAAATAGAAAATAAGGCCAATGAGGAAAAATTGCTAACTGGGGCCATTACTGTGTATTCACGGAATCTACCTACACGCCCATCTGCTTCTAGGGTGCCTTCCTGTGACAGATAGTATTTTCCCAAAATAGCCCAACAATATCTTTCATCCCACATGTGACCCTTTTAAACTCATCCCATTGAGAAGTGGGGTCTATGGTCCCCCTCCTTGAATTTGGGTGGACTTGTGATTATAGTGAAAGTGATGTTATTTGACTTCTGAAGCTAAGTCATAACAGGCAATACAGCTTCTGCCTGGTTCTCTTGGGATGTTCACTCTTGGAACAGCACCACCATGCTGTGACAAAACTCACACATGGAAAGACCCATGTGGAAAGAAACCAAGGTTCTGGCCCAGGGCCCTAGCTGAACTTCCAGCTGACAGTTAGAACCAACTTGCCAGCTATGTGAACAAGCTGTCTTGAAATGGCTCCCCCAGCTCCCAGTCAACACACCTCCAGTGAGACCGTGTGGAACAGAGGCAAACTATTCCCACTGAGCCATGCCCACATTGTAGACTGATGAACAAAATAAAGGGCTGTTGTTTTAAGCCACTAGATTTTGTGCTAGTTTGTTACAAAGTGATAGTAGCTTGAACTCTTCTTATACTTCAAAGCCTAAAAAGCTATAAACTATGTTTCCCAGACTCCTTTGCAGCTAGGCTCCTGGACATGAATTATGTTCCACTAAACACAGGGGCCATAAGTTCTGGAAATACAGATGATGTCATTTTACCATGCCTTGTTATATTGTAATAAACCATATATTATGTATTTGCTTATGCTTCCTGAATTGCTGGCAAGCCTTGTAGATTTAGAAGACAGAGAGACCATCTATATTTGTTGAATGTCGGAGTGAGAGAAAGGAAAGCATCAAAAATTACATCCAAAGCAGCGAGGAAGATAGCCATTTCCTGAGACCATCATCTTCGTTAAGCATCTTACATATTAAACCATTTGTGTAATCTCAGCCAGTGTTAAATCTCAAATTTCATAGACTAAAAATTAAGTAGGACCACTTTGGGTCAGCCAAAATAGTTAAGGTTTTTAACATTATTAAAGTATTGTAACAACCCATGCCACTATGAGTTGCTCTTCCCTCATCTTTTCTCTTGGTCTTCTCTATGTTTTACAGACCATGCCAATTTCTTTCCTCTACCAACTCCCACTTGATTTCTACCTCCTTTTAAGTATTTCTCTTAACTTAGGGAGAAGAAATCTCCTTTATCAATAGTTTGCTAATAAGGCAGGCATGGTTTTTCTTTGTTGGATTTGTTGGGTTTCTGATCAAGTGTGGGGACTCGTTTCACCCTATGCTAGCTTCCCCAAGAACCTGGCTTGCAAGAAATGAATGCAGATTATTGTAGCCAAATGCTGGGCTGCTGCTCAGTTACGCTGGCCCAGAATCATCTTCAATCAAACAAGACCACAGCAATATCAGTGCAGTTTCATCAGGCTCTCAGGCTGGGAGTAGGATTCCCAAGGTTTATGAATGTGTTCTCCAGTGCTGTGGTAATGCTGTCAATCAACATAATACTAGAAGACTCTAGAAACCTTCTATTCTGGTACACCACCGACTTAAACTAGAGGGATGGGACCTGTTGACCTTGCAAGTTCAGACTCTTTAACACTGTTTTACAATTCTTGCTAATTAATAAAAATTAAGAATGAGTGTTAGAACTAAAACAAAATTGAGAAAAGGAGGTTATTAGATTAGCTGTCGGTGACTATCAAATGTTGCACCAGAATGGGCAGCTTTTCTCACTGGGTCCTTTCCAGTGGAATTCAGGTCTGGGAAATGGAGTTCCATTGCAACCCATCAACAAATGTAAACCATTGCAAAGAAAGCTAACCTATACAACATAGAAAGATAAGATTAGCTACTTTGCATGGCTGTGCAGATTGTGCACTGCATTTAAGGAGGAACTAATCACATCACAGACATTGAGTATTTAATGTGATTAATATTTATTATTTGTATATTTATTGTGAAAATTTTCCATCAGAGCATAGTAAAGCATTTTGTCCTAATCAATTATATATCTAGGGACAATTTCTTGACAGAAGTG